AATATATCATTTTGGTTAAATAAGACCAAATCCCTCTTTTAATTTTTTGATGGTGTCCATTCTGATTTTGTGGAACTCCATAATAAGATGTTAAAAATAAATCTATTTTATTAAGCCAGACGTGTTTCAGTCTAATATATACCTTCTTCAGTGACTAAATAACAAAAGTGGTACAAATCATATATTAATTATATACAGGCTAATAATAATGAATATGCCAAAATGTAAAAGTGATAATTAGAACAGCTTTTAATTTGCCATACCTTTTTTTATATGGTTTGACTTTTTTTTTATTCAAGTTCAGGAGTGGATGTCTGTAAGAATGTAAAAAAAACATTAAAAAAAAGGTATGGAAAATTAAAAGCTGTTCTAATTATCACTTTTACATTTTGGCATATTCGTTATTATTAGCCTGTATGTAATTAGTATATGATTTGTACCACTTTTGTTATTTAGTCACTGAAGATGGTCTATATTAGACTGAAACAAGCCTGAATTAAATGCCTCTTGTGGCAAAGACAATCTGGTTCCTACCAATCATCTTAAACCCCCCATTTGTTTGTTATTGCCCTACCTTGTTTATTTAGGCCAAGCACCACACTGGTAGAGTTTTTAAACAGTTTCATATTTTATGTCTATGATTTTTTTTAACATGACCAGTTTATGAGTAGAACTATCCTTTTCAACCAGTGAACGATATTCTCACTCTGGCACAATTATTTCTAACGACATTGAGAACTGAAAATAGAAATTTTACGGTATTTTAATATAATAAAATTTGATTATAAAATGGAACTGTTTTCTTCCTTTTGGAGTCGTAGTGATATCCCCTTTTGCACTTTAACTTTTCTCTATTGTAAATACTCAATTAATTATACACAATATTTTTTCGAAATGAAAAATTTGTGTCACAGGCGGGATTCGAATCCATGACTTTTGGCTCAATACGCCGCTGCTCTACCACTTGAGCATGACTTCGATCGCCCATGCCACAAACCTCTCATTTCGACTCCCCGATTTTATTCTAATTGTAAGCAAATCGTGGCTTCAAATAGAAACACTTTTTATTAACGATTGTACAAGATTAGCGGGACTTTGTACGATTCACAGGTGTGATTCTAGATTAATACTAAATTTTTAATTATTTTATCAGCTTCTATTTAAATATATAAATACTCAATTAATTATACACATTTTTTTTAATGAAAAATTTGTGTCCCAGACAGGATTCGAACCTACGACTTTCGGCTCAATACGCCGCTGTTCTACCACTTGAGCTACCGTGACTTCGATCGCCCATGCCACCCCTTTTCTCTACTGTGTTCTATCTCTTTGAAAATAGTTTCCTGAAAAAATTTTAGATTCTTTAATAAAGTACAAAATTCTTCTCACCGGTATTGAGGCCTTCATTGCAAGGGCATGTCTTTCCTAGATGCTGTAGCCTTTTCGTAGTTATTGCCGGGCACTTGTACGATATGGTGCACAATCGGCATTAGTCATCTATTAATAGTCTGATCTTTTCCATTCCTTTCTGTTGTCTAGGATTGTAGAATTTCCTCTTTCTCCCATTGAGTTGTTTATGCAAAGCCTTTTTTGCTTGTATCGTGCCTAGCATAAATTTGCTGTATTTTTATGTGTTCTTCTCTTTATTAATATGTCTCTTGTTTATGCCACAAAATGGATTTAGGCCTATGTATTTTTCCAAGGCTCTTTTTTTTATAGTATGTCTGCTTCCTCACTGCCTAAAGTTTTCTCATGATCGTAACAAAACCCACCGATGTGTTAGAATATTTACAGATCCCAGTTTTTTATGGTGTTTAGACTAGTTTTGAGTTATCTCATCGGCTTGAAGAGCTTAAAAACTGCCAGGCTGTATGATAGTATTATTATACTTACACCCTTGAGATGTCTGCTATTTATTTCACGTGCACTTATTTCTAGGGCAAGTAATTCATCTTGAAAGATGTTTCCCAGGGTTATGGGTTGCTCATAGGCCCCTTTAAGTCCAATCTACAAACGCCACAAAATCTGAATGATCAAAGTAATAATAACCATAAATTTATGGTCCTTGAATGCATGAATATGCTACAAACCAAAATTGATAAAAAATTGTTTGGTTTATTTGTGAATTTTGGATGATTTTTGTTAAGGAAAAATTATTACAAATTGTTGTATAAACAATTAATTGTGAATTTTAATATGTAAATACAAATACAAGTTTTACATTAAAAAAGTCAATGGCATGAGCGGGATTCGAACCCATGATCTTCAGCTTGATACGCCGCTGCTCTACCACTTGAGCTATCGTGACCTCGATCCACTCGGACACCAACCTCCCATCTCAACCACACCTTTTGAATATTCCCTCCTTTTTGCCATTTTTATCTCAACTGAAAACCTTAATTAATTTAATTAATTGTAAGATATTAATTGGTCAAGCAGACCACGAAACTAGTGAATTTTAAAAACTTAAACTAGTGAAAGCTTGGAAAACTTACTATTAACAATTTGCCCAAAATATAGTAAAATATAAAAATTGTATAAGGAAAAGAAAGTTGGAAGTGATTGTTGGCCTACAAGTCAGTGAACGCATGTTAAATTGATTGAAACTTGCTCATTACTGGGTTTATTTATTATCCCATGGGTTTGGATATCAGTGAAACAAAATGCATAAAATACAATAAAATAAAATAATTATTATAGTATTATGTGCTTTCTATACTAAATAGAACCTTTAAGACAGCCACATTCTGTTCCTTTCAAAATCGTTATTGAGAAGTTGAACTCTGTATGGCGATAGTACTAGACTTAGGAAATGAACTAATTATTCTATTACGCTTCTGTTCTACAAAGTACAAAGTTACAGAACAGCTAAAAAGTAATTCCTGCATTCTCCTACCCATTGGGAGTCATGGCTGAGGGATCAGAATCACTTTATAATACTTTTTTTCCATATTACTCTTAAATACAAGTTCCACGGCTAGGCTGGAATAGCAGAAAAGCTAAATTACACCATCTATAGTTAAGGAATGTATCCGATCTGGCTATTCTTTTTTAAATTTGGAGCAAATTTGGTCATAAATAAGTCTCAAATATAATCATTGCTGTTTCACTATAACCTATTAATATTTTCTTATATATTTTTATCTTAACTATTAAATTATGTGTCAGACTTGCAATCATTGCAATTATCTGATTGAAATTGAGGTGTATCAAATTGAGAACCTAAGTTTCCAAGGTCTTTACAATCCACAGAATTATCTCTCTAGATAAAGGTGTAATGGATTTAACCAACACAATCACCCTCTCCCGGTTAAGGTTAGGTGCCACAAGCCGATACTTGCTACGGTTTACTTACCACTCACTCAGTGTTTGTTTTCTGCGTACAAACACTTTGAGTGAGTAGAAATACTTTGATTGAATATAAAAAATATTTTTTGCATTGTATAAATCCACTTTTTTCAACATCCTACTTGTGTTTGTTATATTTAAACAATGTTTGCCCTGAAGATGATCTCAATAAAGATCGAAACGTTGACACGATAAAGAAAATGTTTTTCTAAAACCTATGTAACACCAGACCGCATCTCATGATTTTCGAATAATCATCGACTAACAGTCACTAATCACCACAGGTTTACTTACCTTTGCGCCAAAGCCCCATGCATGTGTCTGGCATATATAAAAAGGCATAAAGAAAAAATGTTTCCCACCTTATTAAAGTGCGCAATTCCTTGGCTCCATATAAAGAGCTTGCAGGAATGCCACCGAATATGAGAATCGCTAGAGCACAGCAGGCACGTATCAAGGTCCCTTGTTTCAACTCTTAGAAAAATCAGGGTAGTTTTATTGTGTGCTGATATGTTGTGTACCTAGAGTGAATGTATTTATTAGTGTGAATGTTGTGTGAGAGAGTCAATGGGAGAATACTGAATCAGGTTAGGTAAATAATATATGAAAAGGGTAATTGGAGGAATATCCTGTTCTCCACCTCCCTGAGTGACTGGTATGTAAATAACAAAGAAATTATTTAAGAGTGAGTGAGAGTGTGAATGGGTTTGAATTTAGGAAGTGATTGAATTGGGAGACCTAAATGTAGATAACCCCTGGAGACCAACCCCAGCAGCCAGATAAGACCAAGGTATGACCACGGACTGTCAACACCCAGGGTGGTTGATTCTTGAGACCTACCATGGGTAAGTGATACTCGAAGCCTACTGGTAATTTCTTGTGAATTACAAAAGCTAGAATTGCTGATGGACCGCGAGAAGTGATAGGTTAACTCTGTATGCGTGTGTATGTATGTACAAGATTTGATCTTATATAAATTCATAATCAGTTAATGGCTTATTTATCATTAGTATGATATGGTTGATTAAGATATAATTTTCAGTTTTCTTTGAAATTTATACATTATTTTGACCAAAAAGCCTAGTATTTTTTCTAGTAATATATCAAATTTTGATTGCCAGACCTGGGCACAGTTACAAAATGTAGTGTGAGATGTAGTCAAAAGAACAACTTTTTATGTGAAAATAAAGAAATATAGAATTTTAAATGTGTAATGTAAAACATTACAATTATAACACTACAAATTACTCAAGACGGCTAAATTTTAACACAGCTCTATACTAAATTGTCAAAAATTGAATGCTAAAGTCAAACCTATTAACTTTTGTATTCCTAAGATCTGTGGATGGTTTGAAAATTTGTTCCATTTTAATTAGTCGCAGTCTCTTCTACTTCCGTCATCTACTTCACTTGGGCGGAGTCAGATTATGAAAAAGATGAGCCGGAGGTTAATCTCAAAACCAAGGGCCTTGTGTCTCTAAGGGAAATTTATTTCACAGGCTACAAATATGAAGTACAAGAAGTTTCGCTTTATGTTATAAACGAAGGTAAAAAGGGAAAACGATTTAATATTGCACCACAATGTGAATCTCAAAATTTGTAGATTTGTTCATTTAGCTAATTTTAAATTTATTTATGCAATTATAAAGGTGATGTAGAGAGCAACGGTATTCATTATGAAGCAGTTGAAAGCCTCTATGATGCACTATGTGATGATTTCTCATCAGATACTGATTCTGAATCAGGGTATCTAGCACAAAGTCAACCCCAGGTAATTTCTTCTCATTATTATGTAATAAAACAATATATAATTTTTTTTTTTAAGAATGGTGTGATAACAAAAACACCACCACCACCACCTTCGAATGAAGGAATATACAACTTCATGAGGACGGCGAAGAGAAAGATGAGAAAAACTAGTTTGTCCTTTGGACAGAGACTGAGACGGATTAGCAGAATCAGCATGGCTGTGCCTGCGCCTTCTGCTGCTGAACAAATCACTCATAGTTAGTAGAATAATTTCATCTCGGTTAACACATACCAATAAATAATTATTGTTCAGGTGCATCGACAGACAATATTTCAAGGGGCAAATGGCCTTCTTTTAAGAAAAAGAACAGCCTACAGAGCAATTCGACATTCTACCTCGAGACTATAGCTGCGATGCCAGATGATAAAAAGGAAAATCCGTCAAAGGAAAATGTGTCGCCGAAAGCCATAGTTGAAAAGAGACGGATGAGTGCGGCGATACGACCCACCTCTCCACCACCGCCGCCTCCTCCTTCGAATACCAATGGTACAATCTTTACGACTGTTTATCAGTTCATGTTAAAAACAATTATAACTTTAGGGGACACAAAACTAAAGCTGATCAACGACACTTCCCTCTACATGGAATGTGGGCTTTTTGAAAATTCTATAATTCCAATGAGCGACAGAGGAAAACCTTCGAGCAACCAAAGCTGGTACTCAGATGTCGGATTATATGAAAACAGTAAGCCATGATACATGTTTGAACAAAATAGAAAACAAATGCTTTTTTTTTTTTAAATCCTACAATTATACTTTAATTTCAGGCTCGACAGCCAGTTCAGATTTGGATCTCAGATTTGCAAATGAACCACTATACCAATTTTATGCGGCAAGTGTTGCTGAGGTAATTTTTGTCACAAATTAATTCAAAATAGTCACAAAAATATTAATCAAAATTTTTATCAGCGTGAACGGATCGACGTTAATTCTGAAGTCAACTATGAAGAAATTAAGAATAATGAGAACAATCTGAAATCGGACCAAAACCGCCCATCTGCACTGGACCTCGTCAACTCAGAAATGCACCGCACGCTATGGTCCCAGGTGTCGCAAGTGATCAACTCTGGCATTTTAGGTAAATAACCTGTAAACTTCTCAAAGAGAATATGCATTTAATATAAAATTAATTTTAGACACGCTTTCTCCGGAAAAGAGGAGGCTTCAGGAAGCTAAATTTGAACTGATAACCTCAGAAGCATCTTACTACAAGTCGCTTGTGATACTTGAAAAGCACTTTGCGGCAAGTCCTGCACTTAAAGATGAAACCATTGTGCCTAAAGCAGATTACAAGACTCTATTTGGAAACATAAATCCTGGTAAAAAAAATGGAAATTTTTTCTCTTTAGCATGTTGACTGCGGTCTCCCACACCAAAATCAACTCTGGTGGTGGTTGTCGTTTATTTATTGTAATGCATCTAACAGTAATTCAAGGGCGTCGGTGGCCCCGACATACAAATGGGCTTTTTTCAAAAACACCAGCACTCTGAGGGTTATGCTCTGCAATGTTATGTTGCAAACCCTCGTAAAAAAAGTGAAAAAAAGTTATTCAATTATATCAGATTTTTTACAATACAATTAACTAAGAAATAAAAGTAAAACAATCATTAAAATAAGTCAAATAAAATTTAAAAAACTACTGTTTTACTCTCTTCAGCCGTCCTGGTCTTCTAATAATTGCTGATTTTCTCTGTCAGGTGGTCTCAGCACTTTGCCATCTTCAATGGTTGATCCTTTAGATAAACAGTCAAAGCTAGTGGGATAAGTGAGGCCAGGATAATTGGATCAAGCTATTACACCTCCTCTCAAATCATATTTCACAATCTAGTTTTGTATAGCTACAAAGGTTTAAAATACAAGCTACAGAATTAATGCAATTTTTAGCAAATATTGCTAATAATTATGTTGCAGTTAAAAAATATGACAAAGTCCTACACAATCTTCACAGGTTAGGCATAAAATAGGGTATACTTGATCTACCTATCCTTGCTGGGATCACACTGACAATGGTGTCTTACAGTCCAACCTAACGTGGATAGATAGACAAGTTGATTGGTAAGGATCAAATTTAGATTTATCACCCTGCAGACCACAAGAGGAAATCTCAAGATTTATATTATTGTTTATACTATAAAATAAATATTACTTGCTTAATTAACCATCCCTAACCAACTTGATGGACCAATAAATTTATTCGATTCATCGATTGATTTGTAAAATTAAAAAAAAAAAGCTAAAATAGTTTCCCTGATTTAATTCAATTTGAACAAAAAAATCAAACATTTATAGTTTTTAAATATTTAACATGACTGAATCTTGGCATAAACACTAGAATTTAATACAATTAATTAAGATTTTTAGTTGAGATAAAAAAGTCAATGGCACGAGCTGGATTCGAACCCACAATCTTCGGCTTGATACGCCGTTGCTCTACCACTTGAACTATCGTGACCTCGATCCACTCGGACACTAACTTCCCATCTGAACCCCACCTTTTGAATTTTCCTTCCTTTTTGCCATTTTTCATTCAAATTCAAAAAGGTGGGGTCGAGATGGGAAGTTAGTGTCCGAGTGGATCGAGGTCACGATAGCTCAAGTAGTAGAGCAACGGCGTACCTAGCCAAAGATCGTGGGTTCGAATCCCGCTCGTGCCATTGACTTTTTTATCTCAACTAAAAACCTTAATTAATTGTAATATATTAATTGGTCAAGCGGACCACGAAATTAGTGTACTAGAATTTAACTAACGCTAATAAAGGGATAACCATGTTGGATGGGACACGGATTTGAACCAAGCTTTTTTTGGTGATTCTACACCACAAAATATCAGACATGTATCTGCCTCGATTTCGCCCAAAAAAAATTTGAAAGTTGAAATTTTCCGTTTTTAATATTTTTATTTCACCATTCTTCTTGCTCAAATCGACTATGTGAATATATCATTTTACAGCATTTTTATGCAGATTGCAATAAAAATGTATTAAAAACTATTAAAGTCTATCAATAACCAAAAAATTTCTAAAATCAAATATATTTCAAGTAAACTAGGTCATCATTTTTTAAAAATTATAATACCATAAAATACTTTGATTGAATATATAAAATATATTTTGCATTGTATAAATTCACTTTTCCACATCCAAAATGTAATTGTAATATGTAAACAATGCTTGTAAATCCCAGGCCCTGAAGATGATCTCAATAAAGATCAAAACGTTAGCACGGTAAAGAAAATGTTTTTCTCAAACCTACATCACACCAGACCGCATCTCACGATTTTTAAATAAATATCGATTAACAGCCACTAATCACCACATAAAATACGATTTTTTAAAAAATTAAAAAAACGGAAAATTTCAACTTTTAAAATTTTTTTGGCAAAACTAGAACCTATTCACAAGAATTCACAAGAACGTGTAATATTTGGGGTGTAGAATCACCAGGTGGTCCCCTTGTAAGACTTGTCGAAAAACAAGAGTTCAAATGCAGGCCTGCTGGATTCGAACCCAGGATCTTTACCTTACGGTGATGAGCGCCGTGTCAACGCCTAATCCGTAATTAAGCCTGCAAAATCCTAATATAAGCAGTTGAACAGAACCGAACATTTAAAACGAAATTAGAAATGTAAAACTTGCCTGGTGTATACAAACATGAATACAGCGCAGTCAATGTGTTATTGGATATGAATTTTTGAAATATAAAAAATAAATGTTAAATTTTTATTTAGTACGAAAGTGTTCCGAAGCAGTATTAGCAGCGCTTGAAAAATGCTGGCAAGAGAGTATACTTCTTGAAGGTGTCTGTGATATTGTTAGCCAGTTAGCGCAGGAAAAGTTCAGCTCTTATATCACGTACTGCAGGCATCAAATTGCAATTGAAAGAACCCTGAAAACCCTCAAGTAAGATTGTTAAAAATTACTCATTTGACTTTTTAATAATTTTCTTTACCATTTTTAGAAAATCTAATTCATTCCTTGAGGCTTTAAATTCACTGGAGTCTTCTCCAAAGTGCCACAGTCTTTCTTTATATTCGTTCCTTTTACTGCCGATGCAAAGGATAACAAGGATGCCTTTATTATTAGATGCGATACTTACTAAACTTGTCCCTTCAGACCCGGAATACGATTCATGCAAGATGGCCCTTACAAAATTAAGCAAAGTAAATCGACAAATTACATCTTTAACATTTTGACTTTGAAAATAATTATATCGTTTTTTAAAGATTGTTCACAATTGTAATGAAGCGGCAAAACAGACTGAACGCCTTGAAGAAATGGTTTTATTGAGCCATAGTCTAAACTTCCCACCGAAAATGAGAAGGCTGCCACTTCTTTCTGAATCCAGGTGGCTCGTGCGATCAGGGCAGGTCACGCAAATTAACGCAGAGCCAAAACTGACTTTAAGTAAAAAGTTGACCACCGGCAGAAGCACATCTAAACGCACTCTTTTCTTGTTTACCGATTATCTAATACTCGCAAAAAAGAAAGGGTAAGTTCAAAAATAAATATACGTTTATAGCATAATGTTTCATTTTATCCTTTCAGAGACGATAGCTATATGGTAGTGACATACTGTCCTAGAAAATTTGTTCAAATGACATCCTTTGAAGACCCCATTATCGGATCCAATAAATATTTAATAATGGTCACTCTTCTTGAAAATCACGAGGGCAAGACTGAAGAAATGGTAAAAAAATTTAATTTTGGAGTTTTACAAAGTAATATTTTAATTGAATTTCCTTTTAGATAATGAGCTGTGGAAGTGAAAGTTCTCGTGAAAGGTGGCTTCTTGCCTTTACAACGCCTAAGTCAAAAGACCCGAATGAAGTTCTGTACGAGTCGTGGGACTGCCCTCAGGTCTCCGCAATCCACCCGTACACCAGTTCCCAACCCGATGAGCTCACCCTACAGCCTGGCGATGTTATAAACGTCCACAGAAAAATCGATGGTATACATTTTTCACTAACTTTTTTTTCTTAAGTTAATAATAATTTCTATAAAGATCTTGGCTAAAAGTTATCAGGGGACTGTTTAACAACAAAATGAAAATTATATTTTATAAATTTTTGTTCAGGTTGGTTTTACGGTGAAAGGACGAGAGACAGAGAGGAAGGATGGTTTCCCGGAAATCACACAGTAGAAATCGCCTCGTCTCACATCAGAGCAAGAAATCTCAAACAGAGGCATAGACTCCTTGCCTTTTCCACTACCTTTATTCTAAATAAACAAAATAACACAAATTGAAATAATTATTAAGAAAAGTAATTGCTTGGTAAAAAAAAATTTGGTTATTTATATGTATTATAATTTTTTTTTTATACTTTACTTAAAAGAATTTTGTATAAAACGCTCATCTGTATATACGTTTATTGTGTAAATTAGAATATTTAAAAATATAACAATTTAAGAATATTGTAAATAAATAAAAGCAAGCGAATTGTATTATATTTTCTATACCGTATTGTGATATGTCAAAAACAATTTCTACGTGTTTTATTTTTATTGCTATTATTTTCTAGATACAAAGTATATTATTATTGAGAAAGTTTGGAATAAACTATACATTGTTGCCAAAATTTTGGAAATAAAATATAAATATAATTTGACAGCACTTTTATTTCAATGCATATTTATCCATCATCAACTGTATATATACATATATATAAAAGCAATTCCACAATTATGTACTTCTTTGGGCTAAGAAAAAAAGGTGGTCATTTTTCATATTCGTCAATCCACAATTTGTAATAAATTTAAAAAAATGGCCATGTGACTGTATTCCACATTATCGTTTACTTCCACGATAAATTTACACTTATCCGATTGTAAAAAAATTAGTGGTGACACAAAAAAAAGCAGGGTTAAGATTAGCCATCTGTAGTGAACAGCTTGGCTCTCCAAGAAACTATAAATTCCTAGGAAAAACAACTATCCAATGTCACAGTCAAGTGTAAATTGTTATTCGATAGTGAATGTTCACTGAATAAGTCACAACTAAAGTAGATTTACTTTGAAAAACTAAAACAGGGCAGTTCTTTCAGGTTTGACAAGGATGAGATTACTCCAAATACTGCTCCCGCCACGGGAGTACCACAGGGCAGTGTGCTCAGACTTTATATCCTTTATACTGGAGATGTTGCTACCAACCCCGTTCATCTTTTTCTAATGGCACAGATGTACTATCGTCTAACCCAGATCCTGCAGTTGCTTAAGAGGTTCTACACAGACATATCACAGGTATAGCAGACGATGGAAAATGAATAAAATGAGTCCATGTCCAAATCTCCAACTGCATTCATTACCTTGGGTTCCACCTAGACTCAAGCTTAACACTACATCAGCATACACGAATGAAATGACAAGACCGAAACAGACACTAGTCTGCTCTACAAACTTATAGGACGACAATCCAAGTGATTGACAAAAAAACAAATTGACAATTTACATAATGCTACAACTGATTAACCACTAAACCTTCCAATATCCAACATCTTCAATCCTTTTACTGTAGTCCTCAGATCAATTATAAATGTTCCTTATTATGTCTCCTATCCCTCCACAATGACTTAAAATCTCATTTATCAAAAAAAAAAAAAAATCAATTCCAACAAAAATTTACCCAATTACACAATAATCTCTCTGCTCCGAGTTGTTCGCTCCCTACTCTTCAGATGTCCGGGTTAATCATAAGTTTTTGAAATAGGTCTTTGAAGTCATGAGGTATTATAAACGATACAGCCGAAAGCTCGACACCCGAAAACATTTTTGTTGTTTTTTACGTTCATGGCCTCATCCCTGATCTCCCAGTTTTTTTATTTTATCACCGAACGATAATAATCTCTCCCATTATCCCAATAGTCTCGTCCAAGCCTTGTGCAACAGAACCCATCCCAGAAGGCTTTCTTCCCATAAGGAGGCTCCATGACCTTCTTTCCGAAGAGTAGGGAAAGTGGAAGAATAATATTTATGATTTGCTCCCCTCAATATAAATATGTCAATGAATCATGGAACTACATCTATCAGAAATTGCTGATTGTAATAAAATATTGGCATGGAATCCAAAAATGGAATCTTTTTATATTAGCGATTACTTTTTAAAAAAAATAGGAATCCTTCCAATTTTAGTAAATACAACGCTGAAGCAAGTACGAAAATAGAATATTTTAATTTTGAAGAAGATAACTATGAGTTTTTTGGGGGGTTTGAATAACTTATTAAGTTTTTTTAACTGCGTTTTAAAATTTTTATTGTACGGAAATTATGAAATAAATTGTACTGTTGGAAAAGCACTAATAAGTTTATTCAAAGCCAATCAAATCAGAAAACATCCAACAATAAAAATAATTATTCGGAATTCGTGAGATATTTAATAAGCTATTATGTTCTGTCCAGTCTCCATTTTTTCTCAACCTAAGCCAGTATTGCAGCCGAGGAACAATTACTTGGACTAGCATATCTATTCATGCCTAAACATCCATTTAGATTTTATTTTGACAATTAAATTACCCTTTTATATCGTGTGCGGGAAAAATGTGAAAAGATATTTGCTTAACAGTTGCTCCATACCTTAGCGAATTTATAGGGGAAAAGGCGTACAGATGGCTTTAATATAGAAAAATTAAGTAATTCCGTGACTAATTTTTCAATATGTATTTCATTTTTCCCTGAATTATTCAATAACCTTGTGTTTATTATTTATTATTCAATAAGAAATTCAGTATAAATCGTAATTTTGTGTCAATTCTAAGGTAGGAATATCCAGTATTTTTCTATTTTCACGATGGATGTTTCGAATATTTATTTCCTCCCTGTTAAATTATTATATAACCCCTTCACGAAAGGAACAATAAAATAGGAAACGTTAACTGTCGTGTACTTGCACAAAATATAAGACAAGACGTACAAGATAAAGTTCTCATATTTTTTTTTTTTTTGTGACTAAATAAAATTGAATTCTTCTAGTATTTATATCAAAAGTCGATATAATATTTATTTGTATAATTATTCGGAGATAGTGAGATGCGGTCTGGTGTGACGTAGGTTTTAGAAAAACATTTTCTTTATCGTGCCAACATTTTGATGTTTATTGAGATCATCTTCAGGGTTCAAAGTGTTTGTTTTCCCTGAAGATGATCTCAATAAAGATCGAAACGTCGGCACGATAAAGGAAATGTTTTTTTGAAACCTACGTCACACCAGACCGCATCTCACGATTTCCGAATAATCATCGACTAACGGTCACTAATCACCACACAAATAAAAATAATAAGAACCAAGAAATACTATACTATTTTCAAAAGAGTTGTTTGCAGTCAAGTGAATATCGCAATAAAATTAAATTAAAGAAAGTGAAAAAGGCATGTAGAAAATTTCAACATGAGTTCCCTTTACAAGCAGCTGAACATAATCATCCAAATGATTTATCATAATTGTTAATTGTTTCCTGCAATGAAAAAAGAAGTTATCTACAAGGAGTTTGTTTTTAGAAGGGCTGTTTACAGACAAATGTAAATTGCAACTAAAGTAAACTATGGATTGTGAAAAACGCATATAGAGATCTGCAAGTTGATCATCTATAAATATTACAGTTGCTCCTTTAAAATCCAAATTATTTATGATGAAATAAAAAGATCAGTAATTACTTGAGAAAAAAATTGAATCTTCTTTTAATTTTGAAGAGATTTCCACTATAAGTTTGTTTCAAAAAGTTGTTTATACCAGTGAACAATTTATTTGCCCACCCATGAGAATGTCTAGGGCTCAATTTTTTACCTCATGTATTTTTCTTGACATGATCTTATCACACACACTTACGACCCCCATCAGTCATCCTCGGCTCAAGGACTTCTATCTACAACTGAGGGCTTGCGCTTTTCTTGGCCAGACTGCGAGGACAGACCTACTTCGAGGAACTAACCTTGTCACAAAACTGTTATTTCATTGTATATATTTGTAGAATTTCGCTATATTTGGTGTTTGGTTTATTTTTAATAAGTTTATTTATCAAGTAACAAGTGTGTTGAAAGATTTTTTTTTAAATTCATTTTTTCACTTTTATTTTTTGATGCTGGTTTTTCTTGGGTATTAGAAGAAACCCCATTACAATCATTGTTTTGGCAGTTACTCTACATGTTTCAGTGTCAAAGAGACAAGGTAAAAATTTCTCTGTCGTCTGACATGTTTTCACAAGTGGGAGGCATGTTGCTGATTTGGTCCTCAGGCTATCATGCGTAAAACTACCTGGCACAAAAGGTAAACTTTTTTTCATTTTTTACTTCAAATTTCTTGGTCCCTTGGTTAGGTTTCTTTGCTTAGCAGGGTCATTTTGACAATTCTGTGCTCCATCGAAATCCGACACTTTTACAGCGTTCGATCACAACCTGGTGAATTGGAAGGAAGTTTTAAGTTTTTACGACGCAAAGCTATTAACGTAAATAAAACAATTCTAAAAGGGGAGGAAAATTGAAAGGAAGTTTTAAGTTTTTACGACGCAAAGCTATTAACGTAAATAAAACAATTCTAAAAGGGGAGGAAAATTGGAAGGAAGTTTTAAGTTTTTACGACACAAAGCTATTAACGTAAATAAAACAATTATAAAAGGGGAGGAAAATTGGAAAAAAAGTTTTAATCTGGTCTTTATTAAAATACAAATCTCTTTCATATTAATACTCTCCAATATCACAGAGAAATTTAATAGAATTTGCACTTTAAACCCATAACATATATATAAAATTACTCACTGTACAAATTATAACAATAAGTCTTCTTTTTTTAAACTTATAAATCAGCCTACAACCATACATGTTTATTTTTTTTTTCCAGTAAAAAAATCAAAACGTACAAAAAAATATATAATTCATCCATACAAAGTTGTTAAATGCAATAAGCCAACCGTACACCCTGACTTACATTCAATATCAGCTTAAAATTAACTCTTAATATATGTTTTCCCCTGATAATTCATATTTTTTAAACAAATAAGACAAAATTACGATGAAAATATTTAAATTTTTTGTACCTGTTTAGAAAGTGGAGAATTCCCATCTTCTAAAATTGTTTTCCCTTATTCGTTTTACAGCAGTCTCATTGTTAATTCATATGGCCATGCTCACGCTCTTGGTTTCGTTTGTTTCGTCTCGAACAGTTTTTTTACAAAATAGACTTGCAATAACGATGTTGCGACTGTGACGACTATCTGCATTATCGACCATCTCTGGACGTAGTTGTTGTTGTCGACGAGCAAGTTGTAATGCCTTCCTTCCATCCCTCGGAAATGGTTCTGGTGCATGAGCATCTCATTAATGTTTCTTTCGACAACTTGAATGGAGGTCTGAAAATTTACGAGTGTAATTAAAAAGAGCTAATTTGATAAATTTTGATCAGAGTTGGTTAGTAATTAACTACAACACTAAATTTTGTACACACAAGTTTGTGCCACTATACTTAGAATTGGTTTTGTTATTTTTAAAGTTTATACTTGCAACCAAAATCAAAAATCATCGATAATTTCAACAATACTTGTTTCTTCAGAATTAAACTACACTTGTAATAGTATTTGCTGCTAGAACCTTGCTTGGAATAACTACCATCCAGATTTTTTTTCTTTTTTTTTTTTTTGTCGTTATGAACTATGCATATTAGCCTGTGACAATTCATATATGTGTTCAAATTTGGGGGGGTTATTGTGAAAAAAGGGCCAGAGGCGACGGTGGGAATCGAACCCACGACCGCGGCGTGAGAGTCTCTCAACCGTCTAGATTTCAACTGCATAACATAAAAAACATTCATAAAGAGTCTACTCGCATCTAGAAAGAAAGTGCAAATAAATCAAATCCAACTATCAGTCATCATCAAATAAAATTCAACAAAAAATTTAGGCACTGTAAACAAATCTAATCAACAATATGAAAAATTTTGTTTCACAACCTGTCACCATCTTCCATGTAAATTTGTAATTCCGTCCTCCCAGAACTTTTCAGGAATTGGAGTGAAGAACTCCGTTTCTTTGTGTGTCTTCATGTGGAATAAAGATTTTTCCAATTTAAAGAGTTTTTCGGAGCCCGGAATAAGCGAAAATCTGAAAGGCAGTGAATAGGGGAAGCATAAACCAGCTGAGCTCCGACAATTTCTGGCGCATCTGCAAAGACACGTTGGGCAAGCATTATCCGGGTGGAAAACATACGCTCGTAATTAGCCAATGCTGCAATTAGGTCAATCTCTGACTTTAATAGCGCCAACTGTGTGCCTTATACAACTAGAATTAACGATTTTTTTCAGGCGGAAGAAATTAATAATGAAGCACCCCTTTTCAATCCCACCAAATGCACAACCTTATTGGAAAATAATCCAGATTTAGAGTTATTTTCCCAGGATTTTCCTGTCTAAACACTGTTCTAAAGGACTCACTTTTCATACCGTTATCAAAAAATGGATCTTTACATGGTGTTCAAGGAAAGAATCGAAGATGAAGATGTGGTCCAATAAATTCTTCTGTCAACGACGAACCGTTATTACTCCGATAAATATATCAAGATTATAAAATTAAGAAAGAATTTTATTGAACAGATGAAATAATTGAAAAAAAAAGAGGAAAATTCTGACAAAGAACAATGTGGAGAAGAATTCAGCAGACGTGGAGAAACCAAAAAGGCATTTTTTATTAGAATTAGGAATAAAGGCCTGAAAATTTTGAATTGAAAAAACTATTACACTGCACACATTGAGAAAAAATTACAAAACAAAATTTTGTGACAAGGGTTCTGAGAATTACAGGGCTATTTCAGTTATTCTTGATCGTGGATAATCAGAACCGTTATGTACCTAATTGTATGGAGACCAAGGTGGCCAAGTGGTTAAGGTGACAGACTCTCATCTAGTAGATCTTGCGATTTTGTATTCTATTCCCACAGTCACCTCTGGATTTTTCTGGCACAATGAAATCTGACAAGGAACGTTCGATTGAAGAACACGCACATAGGGGGCTCAATCTACACAATCTCTCAAAATGGAGCCAGGAAGGAATGCAATAAGCTGTAATAGCTCAGGGGGAACTCCTTCAGTTCCTAGTATCCATATTGAATTTTTAAAAATTTAAAAAATTATTGGATAAATTTAAAAAGGCATATCACCAATACATTTGTGCCATAAGGCGTGCCTATCTAACCACAAAATGACCCACTGCGTTTTCAGTTGATATATGTAACTAGAATTCAACTGCAGAAGGACCCACTTTTCATCTCCAGTTATGAATCTTTTTAAAACATGGATCATTTACATGGTGGGTATGGCCGTTCCAATATCTCAGGGTCATAACATTTTTAGTTGTATCTTCATGTATGTGATACGTGTTATTTACTGAAAGAGTGAATGTATTTATTTGCATGAATGGACGGGCCCCCAATTATCCTGAGGAATATCATGTTCTCCGGGGTAGCGTGAATGATTTGTGCTGACTATATATAATTTATTAGCATGAATGGAAGGGTTAATTCCCAATTATCCCAAGGAATATCGAGTACTCTGGGGTAGAGTGAATGTATATGCGAATGTAATTTATTATCGTGAATGGAGAGGTTTATCCCCAATACCTCGAGGAAGATTGAGTACTCTGGGATACAGAAAATTAATGTAATTTATTAGTGTGAATGAAGGGCTTATCCACAGTTATCCCAAGGAATATCGTGTACTCTGGGGTAGAGTGAATGAATATGCGAATCTAATTTATTATCGTGAATGGAGAGGTTTATCCCCAATTACCCTGAGGCATATCAAGTTGTCGGAGGTAGTGTGATTGCTAACCAGACTATCGTGTTCTATCTTGTTTCTGTGTATTTGTCTTGATTCTTTATGTTATTTTATCCACAACTGACGCAGCCCTGAGGTTCAGAGAGGCTAGCAATAGTACAAAGAAAAGAGACTGTACCATAAAATATTATAACTTAGTTGGACGAACAGAAAAATAAATTTGTGGGATTAAAAAGTGAGAAAAGTTAGAAATGTAAGGCTTAGGAAGAGAGGACTGGCGATGACCAATGTAGTTTGCCGGCCGTAAAACTTCAAGGTAGTTTTTTTGCTAGCTTCTTGTTTTTAATTATTGTTTTATTTTTATTTCTTTCCTATTAAGAAAAAAACTGCAGCACAGCATACTACATATGTAGTATTTGCAGCAAGACCTAAAGTTTGTAAGTAATTTTGCCCAACTCTGCCCCTGAAGAAGGTCTTACCGTAAAATTTTCAACACCAATTTCCATTTCCTCCAGTTCCTTCGAGTAAATATCCCACTGGTCATACCTGGAAATTAATTTTGTCAGAACATCTATGGTCTGTTAATCCAAATGACATACGAACTGACCTTATGACAGTCATATACAAGTTGACAAGCCTATCAGCAAACCTGGAGTAGTGATTGTCAACACAGATGTGGTAGTAACCTCCGGTCGAGTGTTGATCCTGGTACTCAGCACTCGGCCTCAGCTCGTACGGAAGGACGACTTGCCCTGACGGATGCCTCACGGCGAACCCTGCCAGGCCATCACCGCCTCTCAAGACCTGAAAGTCAAGTAGCCAGTCAAGAATTTACTGTCAACAGAACTTATTTTTACCTGGAAGCTGACGTAAAAAGTGGCACCCGGATTGACATATTGGTAGTAACAGTCCTCTTTCCCCGGGTCGACGTGCACCTTGTAGTCCATCGCGACCGCCGGGAGGTTCGTCCATTCCAGCTGGCATTCCACACGGTTCGACACCAAGGCGAGGAAGACGATTAAAACGATCTCGGCCCTCCTGAAAATGTTCTTCCACCGAAAAGTACCCTGAGACATCGTAGGTGTTACTTTCCAATTTTTTTGCAACACACACGACTACACCGTTACACGTTTCACCGTAAACCAACACCAAAAGGAGGGGCTTGCTGTCACAAAATTTCCCTTTTGTCAGTTTACATCCGCCAGATACTTGTTGATCATAATCCCATTCTTGAGGGTTGACAAAACGTCAACCTTTCCACGGTTTAATGGGTCCGTTTCTTTTCGCTTGTTTTCGGCCTGAAATTGACCTTAAGATGCCATCAAAAGATTGAAGTAAGCACCTTGGCAGACAGCAATCCTGAGAATTCACACAATCCTCTTTCATTTTCAAATCTATGCCAAATTTTATAGAATATAAACAAAACTAAAAACTAGAAAAGGATTGTTTCAAAAAGTTACAACTAATTCATCAGCAAATCGACAAACTATCACAGTAGATAAATTTCTAAACGACCGAACTACAGCCTTTCTTCTTTATTTCCTTACTACTAAATATTTTAATTTTATAGTTAAAACATTATCTTGTACCCACTTGAACCGGAATTGTTTACTCAATGCATATGACTCGGAAAAAAGTATTTAGTTACAATAAAAAACTAGCACACCTTTATCTTGAAATTTAATCAGTTTTTTAGCCTAAAGTAGTTCATTTTTTTACTGCATTACTTTTAAATTTCGAGTGTTTTTAATCTTAAATCATCATTAATGTCGTATCGTTGATTTTCCCCTAAGAGAAACAATTTTTGTCACAACATGGACAAGTGGAACACAATCGAGGACGCAACACTGAACACAAAGATAATGAAGAGTGAAGAAGGATTCGGTCAAATTTCTTCATGGGAAATGGAATATTAAAATCTACCTTAGGATCGACTCGAGTCGATCGATTTAAAAAGATTTAAAATTAAAAATAGCCTCAGGACAGACTGTGAGCTGCAGTGTGACATTTGATCGACCTCGAACTTCAAGCTCAATATTGAAGTAGTGACAGTCCAACTCTTCAACATACATTTTGAAGTTTAAAACACTTTTGAACAATGATCCACGCTGGGAGGATAGCTTTGTTCGTCAATTCTCGCCCTACGACTTCTGTCATTGTCAACAGGTACATTTTTACTTAAGAACAATGCTTCTCAAACTTTTGGAACTATATATTATTTATTAGGCCCATTAAACCTTTATCGTTCGTTTGAAAGTTTATTTTATTCTATACAACTAAGAATTCATGCCTTATTTGTCTTATTTCTAGAATAATTGACTCATCATCAAGCTGAGTCATCACCTCACGTTATGTTCATAGAAGCATACTTTCATATCTGAAACAGTTTTACATACAGGCAGAATAGTACAAACGGACAAAAAATAAAATATGATCATTATATTAATTACTTAATAACAACTAAAGTGTCTTATTAAAATTATTTTTTAAAAATTTACTAAATTACAAAAAAAATTATTCTCTTGCTAAACACTCAATGAATAACTAAGTTTGTAGTCGCCATTTTGTACAAGATAACCTCAAGATGTCCTTTTCCTTGTACAATTCCTTACTCAATTTATAAAATATCTATTTTGGTCATTTATTTGAAATACATTGGACACTCGGTTGCCTGACGAGGATGAGGAAAAGTATTAAATAAAAGAAAAACTTGAATGGACAATAGAACAATTTAGAGAAATATTTCGATTAGCTCAAAAGTGAAAAGACAAAAATCATAGAATACAATTCAGTAGAGGAAAGAAGCATCAGCATAACACGACTGCTAACTCAAGCAATGGACCCTCTTCAATAAAATTTCCAGCAGTTAAAAAATCAGAGAAAGCAGCCTCCTATTACGATGTTCTTTGAGAACGCTGAAAGGGCAAACTTTGCTTACTTATAACTATCCACTTATAACTGTGGAATTTAATTGATCTTTTTTATAAATTATATATTTTTTAGGCCCCTAATAATTTTTTCTCATTTCAATGTAATGCATAGGTACAAGGACTTTTATGTATGTTACTATACGTTGTATTTTTGTTATTGAAAAAAACCCTGAAATATGTGTATATAAATTCATATATAACATTAATGAGAGGCTCATGCGATACCAAAAGTGTCTGAATGTAAGCAGATAGAAAAAGCGTATCCACCATGGATAACAAGTCTACTGTGTCCAGTCTGATTAATACCAACACAATTAAAACCAATTGTGCCGCTTAAAAAGGAAACATTAGTTTGAAAGGGTCCCTGGTACTCCTTGACATCAAAAACTAAAAGTGAATTTCTTTTTTTTATTATTACATTAAAGCTCATCAACCATTTAGGTTATATTCGCCTTGATATCTACTATATTTTCCTTTATACAAATATAGTATGCTCGAAGCAAAGAGTGAGGACCAACAGGGCCAACTAGACAGCAAAAGCATCTCCTGTGCTAATGAAGTGATTTCTTGTTTAGGTCTAATGTGCACATAATACTCAAGAAAAAGGCATTCGTATGCCCAGGGAATCATCCACATGCCTTTCGAGTCTAGGGTCCCTTTAGTCAGAAAGCCACCCCCATCTCCACCTACCCCCAGTACTATCTCCCAATATGTCAGCAAGATTACTCAACAAAGAGCATGTGTCCTCAGTACTAGACAATGATCGCAGTTAAAATATGCTTCTCTGTTAAACTTATCTCACATCTCACAGGTTTAACATGCCAGACTAGGCAGTCTCTCTATTAGGTATCCATGTGTCAGTCGGCAATGGGAAAAAAAAAAAAAAACCTGAGTGTATTGAATTTATAGCAGGTTTGTTAAAGTTCCAAATATCAATTTAAGTGGGTAGTGGTCAGGGATGTGATCCCATTTTCACTACCCATCCTAAATTTTAAAATTTTTTGTTCAATAACATCAACTTTATATAAATAATTAAACCATTTTGATCTTAATTCTTTAAATAAACTTAATTTATGTATTACACGATAATTGTAAATAGTTAATATTGTTTCACTAATTAAAAAATTTCATTTTAGTTTTGGACTTTCACAATGTATATGGCTACATAATTTGAAGAGGTCATGTACATCACAGTCAAATCAAAACAAGCCAAATTATCCAGAAAAAACAATGGCAGAAGGTAAAAAATTATTTTTACTCAGTGTAATATATAAAAATATAAATTATATTTTGGATTTAGTCAAAGCAAAGCTTCGCAAAATGATGGGCACGCCTCAGGGGTATAAAATGCTTCCTGCGAACCGAAGCCATTTACTTCCACTCCTTCCCAAGACACAAGAAGAACTACCTGTTCGAACACCAATGGTTGGTTATCGATTATTATAAAAAAATATATACTTTTTGTATAAATATTGATGATAACTTCTGGCAGGATAGTTATGACACTGCTTCGATTCTTTTGAGCCAATCGCCTAAATTGCAAGACAAGTACGCGACCGTTTTGGGCAGTGTGAGGATAGGAAGGCTTCTTGAAGATCTAGATCTGTTTTGTGGTAATTGATTTTCTTGTTTTATAAAAAGAGAAAAAAAGTTGAAATTTGGAATTTTTCCCCCAGTTTGGATTAGTCTGAGGCACATAAACAACCCGAAAAGTGTAAACTCAGAAAACACACCATATACCATCGTAACAGCAGGTGTTGACAACGTAAATTTTACTGAATATAGACCTCAGGTATGTTGGAATAAATGTTTAATTGTGAAACATCATGAGGTCTGGAACGTTATTAACCTGTAAACCTTACTGTCTACCCATTCTCGCCGATTTTGTTATTTCTAGGTGGTCTGTTTTTATTCTATAGTTCATGACCCTTTATGGATTTGTAAAAAGTATAATTATAAAGTAATAATTTGTGGTTGTGGATTCGATTCCCACCATCACCCTAGCCCTTTTTTTAATGCAACCCTTCTCCCCCAACCATATATGATGAAATAATCAACAGAATCATACTCTGGTATGCAGGCTCAATTAATGAAACTTTTGATCCCTGATTGCCCTGCACTTGCACGGGATTGACCAATTTACAGGTTCATCAACTCACAGACCTCAATGCAATATTTTACAAGATAGTCATTTCTTTATCCTTTAGCCAAAATAAAATAAATAAACCTTTGCTTTGTTCTAAAAATTTTCAATAGGCTCTTGATGACCTGCGTTTGTCTGGGAATGTTATTTATGCAGGGAAGACTTCAATGGAAATCGAGGCGACTGTGGACACGTTCACTCGAGGCGAGTGGAAGCAGTACATTAAGGCCTATTTTGTCATGGTCGCTAGGAACAGCACAAATTCAGGTGGTGCTTTCATCAACCAGCTCAAGCCCAGCACTCCGGAAGAACAGGAAAAATTCAAGCAAGCTGAAGGTCTGTGATTGTGCTGAATAATAAAATTTGAAAAAGACATAGATGGTTTTTTTTTTCCAGAAAGGAAAAAGAAAAGGCAGATAGAGTTGTCAGCCTCTTTACTCAAAACCCCACCATCGCCGGATGAACAAAGGCTCGCCCACGACAAATTTATGAAGACAGTTGACTTGAAAGATCCGACATTGCATAAAAGAGTCCTCCCAGCACATGCAAGCTGGATGGATTCGACGAAGTTTACTAACACGTTTTCACCACATCCTGAAGTATAATTTTTAACATTTTGTTTAACAGTTTTTAAAAATTTTCCTTTTTGTTTTTGTCTAATCAATTATGTATTTTTTTAATATTTTAGAATAGAAATCATCATAATAGAGTTTTTGGAGGTTTTCTTATGAGAATGGCATCAGAATTATCCTGGGTTATTGCTTTTTCACATGGGTATTTAATTAATTGAAAAAAATTAATTCTTGTGTTATACTTTATTATTTATTTTTACAGACGGTCAAGACCTTATCTGTGCCATATTAGCGATTTTTCTTTTAAAACTCCAGTACCAATGACAGCTTTTATGAAACTCAGTGGGCAGGTAAGTCAAGTTTTGTTTTTTATACCTAAATTTAAGATTTTGAAGGCCTTAATATTTTCAATGTTTTAGATGGTGTATACAGAACTCAATTTTGCCCAAATAGTTGTTGTATGTGAAATGTTCCATGTCCACACTTGGGAAAGGGTGACAACGAACGAATTCCACTACACTTACAGGTTCAACGACGAACCTCCTGAAATTATGCCACTGTCTTACTTAGGTAATTCTTTATTGTACATATCCTTATAAATAGGCAACAAAGAGAAATCTTTCTCATTCTTGTTTACAGACACCTTAAGATTAGTTGATGGTTACAGACACTTTCAAGGTTTCAAAGCTCTTATAAGCAAGACAGATGGAAAAAAATTAGAACGTGGATCACCAGAATATTACTTAACATTTTAAATGTCTGTGTAGTACTTAGGGTCTCTACAAACTTTATTAAAGATATGTTGCTTTATTTTTGTCTGGGAACAAAAATAATGTTAGCTCTTTATTCAATGGTTTGTTTTGTATCTGCTTTAATTTATAAATTTCCTATTCAGTTTGTTCTAAAATAGTAAAATGGAAACTGTATATAATTCCTTGGAAGTTAAAAGGAATAAAGAAACTGAAAAATTGTTTATGACCAGATTAGTGATTATTTCCTATTTGTTATTTTCATTTTCAGATTCTCTTTTATGGCTGGATGGCAGAAGGCATTTCTTTGAAGCAATTAAAAGTATTGAAGGCAGCCAAAAAGTTGCAAAATTGTGAATTTCTTTCCCATTGTGCATTTTTAAGCTTTATCAATTGTTTCTCTACCAAAGGAGCAAATAACACGCTTATGTAATTCGAGCTGTTTGTTATACATCAGAAAAGAATTACTTTTTTTCAATTATAAGAGTGAAACGAACAAAAGAATTTTGCTTTCTATATTATAAACTAACGAGAAAGCTTACTTTTTTATGTATAATTTTTAATTATATTTTAACCATGAATAAAAATGTTTTAAACATTCCATTGGCAAAGATACAAACTAAATTTAATTTATCTGTGATAAAAAAAAACCTAAGATAAAAATATATAACCCATCGATTCAAAATTAAAATGTGTACTTAAACATATTTTTTTTTTTTTATTTAATAAAAATATTTAACACCACCATTTTCATTTCTAATACCTTTGCCTGATAATAAAATAAATTTATTTTGGGTAGAAAAAATTTTGAGCAAACTAATAAAAAAACAATAGCATCATCCTAACCCGACAGAATTGGCCACATACGGTTGACACAGGACAATTTTAAGTCAAAGCCTGCATATGTGTCCACCATACAGAAAAATTGCTCAATTTGTCCAAATAGAACTGAGTAAGAATGCCACCCGATATGAATATTTTACTCGAGTACAGCAGCGAATCTTAGGGTCCCCTGAACAATTTTTGAAGGAAACTAGTATTTTTGTACTTGTAAATTTTTTATTGTTATTAATTTTATTGTTTATGTGAAAAATTGATTAGGTGAATAATAAATAAGTAATAAATACAATAATAAATAAGGTAATAATAGGTGAATAATTGGTGAAATTATATTTTGGGTTTCGTGAGAATGTATCTATAAGTGTGAATGAGTACTATAAGAGTGGGGAGACGATGGTAGCTGAGTGGATAAGGTCTCAAGCTTATCCAACATCAGAAATATGATCAAATCATTGTGTGATAATGGCTGGAAGATCAGTATTGAAAAGGTACCAGCGCACACAGGAATCTCCAAGGTAATGAGGAAGCTGACGCAGCAGCAAAGGAAGCCACAGAAAACCCGAAACAACAGTCACCATAGTGCCGAAAAGCTACGTCATCTCCATGGCCTCGAAAATAACATTGGCATAATTGGAAGAACGTTGGAGGTGTACTACTAAAGGTCTTCAAACTAAAAAGTTCTTCCCAATGGTAGAAACGAGGATGGCAGTAGAACTGAAACACCACCATATGCTTACCCGACTTATAAGCAGCCATGGATGAACTCAAGAATATCTCTGTAGATTCCACATAACACGGGATTCGGAATGCAACTGTCCAGGTTGATCTCAACAAACATGGGACCACATCTTATTCGACTGCCCCATTCAAGAACTACGCTGAAAATCTCTAATAAGGAACGTTGTATGTAAAGGTGGACAATGGCCACCAGACCATCATATTTTGATTAGAGACCTTAAATAATTTTGTTAGTAAAATTGTATTAAACTAATTGTAAACAATAATTGTGTATGGATATGAAAACCTGAAATCACTATGGGATCAGGTACTAAATAAATTCTCTAGCCTTAGGAGTCTAAGGTTAGAAAAAAAAAGTGTCAGACTCTCGACTAGTAGATCCTGCAATCACAGGTTTATTCTCACAGTCACCTTTGGACTTTTTTTCTAATAAGGGCCACAAGGACAATTGATAATAACATAACTCTCATCCATGGAAGGTCTGGGGTGGATCTCATTATCCCTGAATTCGCTCCTGACCCCATTCAAAAATGAATTTCTTCTATGGAAGAACGCCGGCAAAATAAATAACACAACAATAGATGTTTAATTACCCTGACCTATTCTTCTCAGTGTTTAGTCTGTCAGATACTGGCTAAATCTGACAGATAACATCAGCAATTATATTCAAAGCAAAATCATCAGACATACCTGATCATATTTCACAAAAGCAATGAATATTAAAAATTGTTGAACATTTAAACTGTTCTTTGTACATACATCAAGGAAATATCAAAATATCTCGTCAGTTTTCTTTTCTACTAATTTGGTTGTTATCAATTTTAGTCTTTCGTCGCTTTAATGTAATAAAAAAACTGACTTAATACACTAAAAATGTGGAAATAGAAGTTCAACACCCCCTACATCTCACAACCTTGTAAAGAGACTTGGCTTCACGAAAATCACCCAGACTCAACCCTGAAGATGGCAATGTAACACAGAATATTCTCTTTTGCTAAGCAAGGCGAAGACATTTTGATTATGGCTTGTTTATTTTTATGAGGAAGGAAAAAAGACAAAAAATACAAAAACCTGAGAGATACAAATTATATGCATTTCTTTCAAAATTTGTTTGCACCATATTAATAACTATATCGTTCAAATTAATTAAAATATAAATCAGCCATAACTCTAACGCTAAAGAGTGAGCTTATTCACAAAATGCACTTACCAAAGACGACGCCAATCTCCAAATCGCTTTCTTGCACCTTTCCTGGTATCTGGGCTCTCTTGTCAGTTGACTCTTTTCTAGCGTTTAGTCAGGTCTCAAGTCTCCCTGATCGTGACTCTCCTCTTCAGATGACTATTCGACTCGTTTCTGCCCTTGACTACACTTGAAATGACTCTTTTGGCCTTGGGACTCAATTTGTCTCTCCCTGTCTCAATTGATATGATTTTCCGAACCTCCCTTTTTATATTGGTCCCCTAAGGTCAAAGCGAGGATCGATCATGACCACTGGTCGTCTGCTTAAAAAATGTGAAATACTTTGCAATTCCTGGGAGATTTTATTATGCATTCCCTCGATCCCATTGTCAATATTCTATAAGTGTAGGGTTGCAAAAGTCTTTCTAATGACCCATAATTTTTTATATTTTTTATTAGGTCTGTTCAGTCATGTTTCTACACTCCATGTTTTCAGAAATGTTCCTTCGTTTCCTACTGGGTTGGCAAATGATCAGATTTACAGCCCAGCATACAAGTACAAAATTCATTATGAACTATCAACATATTAATTTCAACGCATAAGACACGCGGAATGTTGAAACTCTTCAATTAGACCAACCAAGCTTAGGATAGGCAGACAATGTCTAAATTACATAATATCTCATGTTTTCAATGTTTTTGCAACAAATTTCCAGTGCTACATAATAGATATTTTATATTGTAGTGGAAGAAAAGGAGAATAATTTAGTCATCAGAGACCCCAACATGAAAAATAACTTGCAGACTAATCAATTCAAACAGGTTTATAAATAAATAGTGAAAAAATAGTGTTGTGGTCGTGAAGTAAAGAACATCGCCCATTGACTTTTCTCACCCTTTTGTTTGCCATTTCACCATTTTACATATCTCGTTAAAAAAATATGCAATTCAAAAAAAGCTCGTTGTAAAATTATGTATATTTTGTTCTGCATAATATAAGAATATAATACTTTATTATACTTTACTGTTTCATTATAGACTTTTTTTTAAATCTGATTAAGTCTTGTAGATTTAAAAATCATTGCAATTGTGCACAAAGGGTCCGTATTATATCCTCAAGGACCTCCACTTTTGTCTTAAGTGGTACCAGACTTGTTGAAGGAGGTATGTGTACAAAGAGTGCCCTCGCTTTATTGTGGCACAAAGACATGTAATACGTGAACTCGCAAAGATAGCTGGATATGGAACCAAAAAGAAATTCAAATATTTGTATTTATTTATAAGACAATACTTACTTTCCAGCGTTTGTTGACTGTTGAATTTTTATATCATCCCTTTTGACTTTTTCTATTAGATCATCAAGGTCGATTTCTGTCGAGAGAAGATCGCCCCCGTCAATCGGGCAAGTGTTGTTTTCAATTACGCACCCTGATACATCTTCTTGGCAATAGCCAGACTTTCTAGCTTGTTTTTCAAGCATCACAGAATCTTGATTATGCACCCCTACATGTATCACCAACTGTAAATTAAGACGATTAGGCATTTTGTTTTGTTTAAATATATGAGAAATACTCACATCAGGGTTATGATTCTTCCATATATCTTGTACTGTTGTCGCAGCACTTTTGTAAATCACTTGTATCTGGGTGGAGCGTAGTACGATGCCAAGTTTGGATTCTAAATTCGAATTGTGAAGCTGGTTTACAGCTTGCCAGCTATCGTTTACTTTATGGTCGCCGAACGGGCCAAATCCAGTGACAAACACAGTCTTATTTTTCTCATCCATTTCTGTCTGAACTCTCTGTTATCTTTTCTCTTTCTAACACTTTATCTCTAAAATTCAAATAAAAAAGATAATTTGTTTCTTATCTAAGTTTTAAAAAACGTGCAATAAATGCAAGAAAAAAATCTAATGTAAATTAAAAAAAAAGGATAATCTCAAATCATATATTAACACCTACTGTTTAATCATAGAAAACAAAGCTTTAATGCTTTAACAAATAAAAACAAAGCATAAGGAAAGAATTAAAGGGACAGAACTGTAATCATAGACCTTGGTCTACTTTCTGCTGTCTGGGAGTGATGAGACTTTTAAACTTGTTCGTCCATTAATAAAATATATAATGTAAAACAATATATTTTATTGACCAATGCATTATAGACAATAAAAGTTTATAAATATATCTTTCATCTACCTAACTTGTCACTTATCACACTCATATATAAGATACTTAAAAAAATAAATAAACGCAGAAATATAACAAAATATATGTTTACATATCGGCAGAGAATGTTTCAAGAGCACTGTTAATAAGTGGCCTTCAGAAGAAGGGTCATCCTCACCCGATTAAGAATAGGCCATGTGAGGTTGACACACTGGACTTACTTTTGGGCCAAAGCCCTGAAAGTGTAAGCCTGTAAAGAGAGAGGTTGCCTGATTGTCCACATAGTTGAAGGGTGCCATTTCTTGGCTCTATGTAGAGCAAGTAAGAATGACAGCCAATATGAGGGTTGAGCTTGAGCAAGCATCAATTATATAAGAGTAAAAATAAGAAGAGGATTTTGATCTCTACATTTAAAACTAACAAGAAATTTTATATTTATATGTGTAATGTCAATTATATTTTAACCACAAATAAAAATGTTTCAAACACTCCATTGGCAAAGATAAAACTAAATTTAATTAATGTATAATTTAAAAAAAAACTAAGCTAAAAATATTTGGCCCATTGATTCCAAATTGGAATGTGTACTTATTTTATTTTTTTATAATTTTTTTAAATTTATTTTTTTAAATTTGTTTAATAAAACAATGCAACCTGTGTTTGGGTCCCCTGTTCTGATTTTCAGAGGAAACAGGGTTGATTTAGTGGGGGGCATCTTAATCAGTGGTCAATTTTTATAATATTTTGCAAAAATAAACGTAGAATGAATGAATAAAATTAAAAAATTAATAACAATGAATATTGAAAACAAAAGTTTTTTTATTTTGCAGCAGCAGTTATTGTGTTTTCCACAGACATGCTTTAGGTATTAAACAAATGCCAGCCTCTTTTAAGAAGGTTTTGGATAAGTCTGTTCGAATTATTAATTATATCAGGTTGCAGCCATTGGAGTTGAGACTTTTCACAATATTATGTAACGATACGGGAAGCCTTCATCATCCCTGATTCTCCATACACAAATGAGGTGTCTTCCAATTGCAGGAATTACGTTCTGAAGTCTTATCTTGTTGATGGAACACAATGTCAAATTAGCCAACATTTTCAATTATTAAAAAAACAAAACAATGTGACTGTCGTATTTGTCAGATATTTCCATTAAAATGAATGACATGAGTCTTTCTTTTCAAGGGGAGAGTATCACAATTTTCAATGCTGACAAAGAAAAATCCAGTTTTGGGTTTAAACTGTTGAGAAGAAAGAGGTGGAGTGTTTTCCAGTGTTTGAACACCTTCGAAATTTAGAGATGTCCTTTGAGCACAATTTCCCAACAGTTCGAGATAAATGCTACAAGACCCTGAATGGGTGGTCAAACCATTTTCTGTTTTGAAAAAGCCAACCAATCTATCTTCAAGTGAATACGAATTTGGTAGACTTTACTTCAGACTCCACGTTGAAATTTATTTCGAGTCCGATACCCCCATTTTTGACTATGACTGGAAAACAAAAAATTTCAACCTTGAAAAAGCAAAACTTCCATTTGCCACAACTTACTGCTACGAATCTGGATTATCTACAAATCTATACAACCACCATAAATAAATACTGAAGATGAACCGGCCACCAGTCTCCAATTATCAAAAATTAAAACCAAATTATACAAATTGTGCAGGCTAAGACAACCTCACTCTTCCAATTGTTCATTAATCGTTCATGTTCAAATTATTACTTTTGAAATTGGCTCAAGTTTTGCATAACTATTGATTCCATTCTGTCCAGTTTGATTTTTGTGTTCCTTATTTGTATATATTACTGTATTGTTTTGGGTACATTAGTGTCTGTTGAGAATGAATGTATTTATTGGTGGAATATTGAGTTCCCCCTTTAACTTACACTCATCTATTGCGATTGATCTCTGCTAATTGATTTCCAAGATAATTCTTCTTTGCTGATTCTTCTCAGGAGTATGGCATCTAGATACTATATGATTTTCCTAAGGAATTCTTTTTCTAGATTCCATGGCCATTTTCTACCTATTGCAGGCAGTTTCATAGATATTGCATACACTGATGTCTCTGTCTCATGCATGGTTTTTGCGTTCTTTAGTTACCACAAAATTGGCCTGTGAGCTTTCAAGGCTTCTTTTTCTTGCAGTATATCTACTGACTTTTTGCCTCATGACCTGGGCCTCACCTTAGTGTTTGGTCTATTTAAAATATTCAGACAGTTCCAGACAAGTTCATCTCATAGGCTTGGAGAGCCTTTAGAGCTGCCAGGCTGTCCGATTATTATTATTATTTACTGAATACTATTGTCACAACCTTGAGATTATTTATTTCATTTTGGTTTAGCATGGCTTGAAAGATAGTTGTGACAGGGCCAAGGGCTATGCTGTACTCATAGTTAGGTCCCTTTTTGCCAGTTTAATTTTCCATCTTTGAGCCATCATCAACTGTCAAAACTTGAAAAGGAGTCTCAAGGTGAAAACCAAAAGGAGGTTTATATCAGTTCATAGATACAGCATAAAGTTTGGGGCAATGTTTGGGAGAAAAGAATTCTCCAATTTCTTCAACCAAGAAATAATTTATTTATTTGTCAGTCATGATCTGGATGTAGCTCCTGATCCAGTCTTGTGCAAAATTTCGTTACCAATTAAACAATGTTATTTGAGGAAATCAGTGCAAAATTTTTCTTTCAGTACCATGAGCAAATAATTTATTATCAATTAAAATTCGAATCCCGCTCGTGCCATTGACTTTTTTATCTCAACTAAAAACCTTAATTAATTGTAAAATATTAATTGGTCAAGCGGACCATGAAATTAGTGAATTTAATCAATTAAAATGATAAATTGGTGATTGGTTGAAGAAGATTTCCTTTATCTGAAAAACAATGTTTGGAGAAAGCTTTTTGCAAAACTTGAGAACAGCTACTCAAATTAAAAAGAGTTTGCACTGTTGAATTCATCATCGTAAAAACTTTTAAAAAAATGTACATTGATGAGTATTTTACAATTAATTAGGTTTTTAGTTGAGATGAAAAAAAGTTAATGGCATGAGAGGGATTCGAACCCACGACCTTCGGCTAGATACGCCGCTGCGTTCATCTCAACTAAAAGCCTTAATTAATTGTAAAGTATTAATTGGTCAAGCGGACCACGAAATTAGTGAATTTAAGGAATTGATGAGTATCTTGCCATTCGAAATCGATAAGTTTCTAACCTTATCCTGTTTCCTGGAAAGTTAGATCAAAACGTTTTGATGCATAAGAAACTAAACAAAAATAAAACTTTACATGTCTTAGGATTTTACACAAATATGACCCAATGAAAACAAAATATAGGGAGGAACAGAAATCAAACTCACCCTGTATAGATGTTAACACAGTAATGAATTTTGACAATATCCACAAATTAAATAGCTATAAAACTAATTTGCTATGATTAACTCTGTCAAAAGCCACTGAGAAGTCTATAAAAACAATAAAAATTTTGACCTCTTTATTTGATTGTAAATGTAGGACTAAATAATATACTAAAATGAAGTTGTGAGCATAACATTTTTTTAACTTCAATTTTACTTATTAAACCTGGTTTTATTTTTAAATATATAATTAATTCTTTTAATAAACACTATTTTGTAGGTAAAGAAATTTTTACCATCATACTCTGCAGCTTATTTTTAAAACTATATTTTACAGAGTTGTACATTTACTTGATATATTTTTTTTACTAAAATAATGCAGAATTCACATGAAAACAAACTTTTTATTTAGAAATGCACAATTTTACAGAACTACTCTTATTGCATTAGATAGGTGTGAAGCAACATTATATTTTTTTTAAATTGTAAAAAAAAAACAAGCTGTAAAGTAACCATTGTCATATGTATTTTTATTTAATAATGTTTAAAACACAGTAATTATTTATTTCTTTGAAAACCATTTTTGAAAGTATTTCATATTTAATATTAACTATTCTTACAATTAAAAGCGCCACAAATTAATGATTCGTAAGTGCTTTGAAAAGTCTATGAAAGTGATAGAAAACAAGTGTGCCCTGAGAGTAACAATGTCTTAGCTTGACAATACAGAAACATGGGTCGGAGGCAAGAAAAGGGTAATCGAAACGAAAGGGGGCAGATGGATGTAACAAGTGAATCAGACACCAGTTATGCCAATAGAAAAAGAAGATATGTCAAAAACAAGCATTCCACGATTTGCACTTTGATTCCGACTCCAAGGTAAACGAATGTTCTATTTGATAATAAAGACAGGTGGGAATTTTCTCATAAATAAACTAAAGATCTTGTTTTAGGGGCCCTCGAAAAACAGAAATGTGTTCTAAGCACAAAAGAAATGCAAAAAATTCAACGAACAATACTACTTACAGACCTAAGTATAGCTGTCAACTTTGTAAAATTCACAAGCGTTTTAATTTTAAATTTCTTTTGCTTTAATAGAGATAGTTATGAAGATGAAAGTCTCTATGAAAACCATGAAAGTCCAAAAGGAAAGTCTCAAAGTTGTCATCAGTGTACAAAGTCAAAATTTTCTTCAAAGGGCAGAACCCACAAACAATTTGATAACTATGATAATTCAGAAATAAGTAGAGAAGATTTGGAGTCAAAGTAAGTATTTAGTGAAAACAATTAATTACAATTTAAAAAAAAAAAAAAAAAAAGGGAAACGAGTGTGTCAGCAAAACCATGGTTTCTCTGGGTACCTGGGTACATAGATCTGGAGAGTAATGAAAAGGCGGACGAGGCAGCTAAGGCCAAGACAACTCAACTTCCAGACCTAACCACCAAGATCTGGCCTCCTGACATTAAAAAATTAATTCAAAAATCATTATTAGACAAAAGTTGCAGCATCAGATCAGCAGTGAAGATCTCACATACCAAGAGATTGATAGGTGGCCCTCGGAGGACCTGACTCGTAGAAAAATGGTCATCCTCATCCAATTAAGAATAGGCGACACACTTAACTTTAGGGAGAATGTGAATTGGTTTAGATTTAGGAACTGATTGTGTTGGGGGGCTGAAATGACCTAGCTGGTGGTAGCCCCTGGAGCCTAACCTCAGTGGCTGGACGGATAAGACACGTCTGATCCCAGACCTCCAACATCCAGCATAAAGAATTATCTAGGCCTGCCAGTAATTAATTGTAAATTACAAAATCTGGAATTGCCGGTGGACTGAGAAGTGTTAGGCTCAACCCATTACACGCGTGTATATATGTTCATGCATGAGCAGATTTAAACTTATATAAATTAGTAATAAGTTAGGAGATTATATATATTGCATTAGCTGAGTAATAGTACATGAAACAACTTCATTAGATGTTGATTATAGTAATACAAGCTAAAAAGTACATGCTACATTATCAATCTTGTAATTTGATGCATTTTGGCAACCTCAGTGCCTCAATTTAAGTTAAAGAGGGAAAAAAATTATCATTTTTAATTCTGAGTAAAGAAAGTAAAGTAATTTCTGTCGTACAGGAGAACTTAACGTCCAACTACCAATTAGGTGTGAGGGCTCAAACCACTTTCCAATACATTCTCCACATTATTTTTATTCACAATAAAAACAATTAAAATTCTATATGCTGTGCTGGGATTCAAATCCAGGTCCACTAGAGTGGCAAATGCGAGTAGGGCACCGTAACCACTCGGTCACCATGTCCACATTTAACTGCATAACAGTAAATTGATATTGTCTTTTTCAGTGAAGAATCTTTTGATCATCTTAATGACTGTGATAAAGGGAAATCTCTTTTAAAGAAGTATGGAAATGTATTTGATAAATGTATAGCAGAGGAGTTTGAGGAATTGGTGAAGTGTGAAAAGTGCAAAGAAGAGACACAAAGGAAAAATGACAGTAAAATGTACTTGAAAAATACAAGAGCAACCCAGGCAAACAAATTGACAAAGGAACAGCTAAAATTAATTGCGATGGACAAACCCCCACTAGATAAGCTAAGCGAAATACCACTTAAGTACTTAAAACCGAGGCCTCCATCACACTACAGGCAAAATGAAAAGGTAAATATTTAAAAAATACAATAGTCTTAAAGACAAATTAAAGGTATATTTTCTTTTTTAGCCTAAATCAGTATTGGCAAAAAACTGCTTTCCTGAAGCGAACTTCGAACAATTTGTTCAAAGTATAACTGAAAGAGCGCATTCCGTACAAAATAAGGGTGAATCCATCATGGAAGTAAGTGATGGTAATTTTTTCCAATCAGTGGCTTAAAATATACACTCATGGTTGAAAGATACAGTTAGTAAATTATAGGATGATTGGTTTGAACCAGGCCTTGCCTCGGTGAAAAAAAAGTCAGAACCCCAGCCTTATTTACACCCAAATGTCGAGAAACTCTTTTCCAAGGATACTACGAAGGTGATCCTCAGTCATTTTCAATTGATTGACTTGTTAAAAAAGCAACACTATTTCAGAAAGTTTTGAACACCTTAGATGAAAAATCTGTCAGCACTCAGACAGACATCAAATGGGAAAATATCCTGCAAAGCACGCTATTCTATGAGATGGATTTGGAAAGAAAGGCGCCGTTTGTTTTTGACCTGCATAAGTTACAAAATGACAACTGGAGAGAAGCTTTAGCACAGCAAGAAGTACCTGATCGCGTCCCTGTAAATCCTCTTTTGTCGTACAACTTAAAAAGAAAGTAAGGATGATAAACTTTGCTTTTTAAAACCTTCATAAGCATGACTTTCTTTTTACATAGAGGATTACATGACATATGTCTTTGCTGTTCTGGTGTTCCTCTTGAAAAACATCACGTTTCTGACAAATGTATCAATACGGACCCGTTAACTGAAAAGAGGGTAACATTCGGAAAATGCACTGTAATGAATACTTTCACAAATGAGAGTGATGATACAGATGAGCATGCAGAGCCATCAACCCAATTTGTTAATAAAGCAACAGAACAAACAGACACATTGTAAGTTGAAGTTAATTAATAACTTATTTAAGCAATATAACTTTTATATAGTACAATAATGATTAAATTTTGCTACTGTACAATAAAAAATAAAAAACAATTGTATATATATTATTTTTCAGAGATAAAAAACAAAACTTGGGTAAGGGTGGAGGTGATACATTATGTCAAAATTCAAACTTGAATAAACAAACTCCTTCGCCTTCAAAAAGTGACAAGGTAATTCTGAAGAGTTTAATTTTATTTTATCATGGTTTGATCAACATTTTCTTAGGACATTTACGAATCTGCGTTGAAAGGTGAACTTAAACAAGGAGATTATTTAACATGCTTAAAAATCATCGATAACATAACATGTGCTATGTTGGAGCTTGACTTCAACGACAGTTTAAAACTGGCTGCAGGTGGGGATCACCTAAAGCAAATGCAGAAGTTGAGGGAAGATCACTTAAAACACATACAAAAAGAAGTACACCACTTAGAAGAACTTGATAAGTAATGCCTAATGGAATTTAATGCATTCAAGTGTAATTGTTTTATTATTGTTGTTGATTTTTTATAAGGTTCCTTAAGAAATTCTCAACTCAAGACAGTGACAGTTAGGAGGAAGCCAAAGACATTTTTCAAATTCCTCAAATCCCATGTCTTTCACCCTCCTTGTAGGAAATAGGTGGTGGAAATAGGTGCAGAAGGGGAAATAAACTTTTGTACAGTATATTCTTGTTTGATATAATTTATATATGTCAAATATCTCATTTATTTTTTTAACTTAACATCGTGTTATTTGTGTTTTAATTTTTTAATATTAATTATACAATTGATAAATGACATAGGGTATCCCTGGTGGGAGGAACTAAGAAGGTTAAATGCTTTAACTGTTAAGAAAGCACGTGTTTATTTGTTTGTTTTGTTGTTTGACAATTCTGAATTTAATATGACAAGAAAACATGGTAGGAAAAGGCAGAAAAAGTTTTTATACAGAGCCAACAAGAAGCTCAAGGAGGAACGATTCGGCCACATACTGGACAAAGATACCTATGAGTACTTTTTGAGAATAGCGGAGACGTTGAAATTGGACAATAGCGACGAGGAAAAAGGTACGTTTTCGTTATACAAATCAAACACTTAAAGTCGAGTAAATAAACGTTAAATTTACAGGAGTCCTGGCCGAGAACGTCCTTAGGGAAACCCAAGGCAAAGAAGGTGATTTCACATCACACCCTTTATCCGCACGAGTGCTTGAAGGTATACTGCCCTGGGCTTCTTGGAATGATCTTTCTAGGTTGAGAGATGCATTCGCTGAAAAACGACACTGGGCCAAAAATGGATGTCAGGCTCACGTGCAGGAATCGCTCATAAAAGATGCCGGACAAAGAGCACAGGTTTGTTGATTCTCCATAACTTGTTACGTTAAAAAATAATGCTTGTAAGCGGTGCAGCAATGTACTATGAACAGAATACACAATTAATTTTTTCTTGAAAGGAAGGTAAGGTTCAAAAATACAAAAACCAAAGAGAAACTCATGCACATCTATTGCTGTACTTCCAGACCTTCTCAATATTTATAATAGTATATAAAAGTCAGCCATAACTCGAACCCTAGGGCTTAGCTTATTTAGAAAAATAACTTAGTGTGAACGACACTAGCCAACACCAGTTTCCACATCTTTAAGCCATCTAGTTTCTCCTTTCTGCTGCGTCCTAGTTGATAGTTGACTCTATTCGACTCGTCACAGCTCTTGACAGTCAACTTTGTGTTTCAACTTGTGTACACTCACTCTCTGTTGGTCTGTGTCTGTCCTGTCTACTGTGCCCTAGGCACTACACTGCCTTGGAGAATTGGAGAAAATGTCAGAGATGGAAAATAAATCTGGAGTGGATAACATGCACACTCAGGCTTCGACAGTAATGAAAAGGCATATGCTCTGGCACAAAACACAATGAAAGATAGTACAGTACTGACAACATACACAAAAGTTCTACACTCACTTATAAAAAGAAGTGTGAGCGAACAAAATGTGAAGGCATGGAGTGGCTAGGGATGAAAAATATATGAGGAAAAGTTAGGCGAACAACTAGCAATTTGAAAAGCGAGATTTGGGCAGAAGAATTTACAACCATAAAGAAAGGTGAACAGCTAAAATTTGTCATAATGATGGAAGGTCAAGTAGCCATAGACACTATTTGCAATGTAATAAAACAAAAGAAAGCATGTCAAGGAAATTTGCATGAAAATAAGAAGTCATAGGATGCTGGGGTCCGAGATCAAGTTAGTTGGGTGAAGGCTGGAATTATGTAAAATTTTGTAAAGAGGCTGGCCATCGAGCTAAGGAAGCACCTACTGATTTGACTTTAACAGTAAGCTACAATATTGTTCCAAAAAGTCATGTGAAAGAAATTGATATCAAAGCAATGGATAAGTGGCATAAAAGACGGCAAGCTTTCATAGTATCGTAGTAGCTTTCATAGATTTATCTAAATTGTAAATAATGTATACATGTAACAGAAGAAAATTTTAAATTAATTAAGGTTTTCAGTTGAAATGAAAAAAAGCTAATGGCACGAGCGGGATTCGAACCAACGATCTTCGGCTAGATACGCTGCTGCTCTACCACTTGAGCTATCGTGACCTCGATCCACTCGGACATCAACTTCCTATCTCAACCCCACCTTATGAGTTTTCCCTCCTTTTTGCCATTTTTTTCATCTCAACTGAAAACCTTAATTAATTGTAATGATTTAATTGGTCAAGCGGACCACGAAATTAGTGAATTTAAAAATTTTTAAATATTGATAGTGTTAAAGAAAGAAGTTTTATTTTATTCATTGTTATCAGTTTATTATTTGTTGTGATAAAGAAAGAAATTTTAAGTATTTAATTAATTTATTGTTTATTTTATTCATTATTATTAGACTATTAATTTTTGTTATTGTTTCTGAGAGTGAAAAATTTATATTTTTTTAAAGATTTGAAATGCAAAGTATGTAAATGCTAACAACCTTGCAATCCAAAATGGGAAGCGGATAAATTCCCAAGGCAAGGGGTACTTGCAGTATGGTAAAAAAACATTCAACCGTCAATTCTATTCAATTCATCTCGTCACTTGACAGTCAACTTCGTGTCTCGACCGGGTGTGTTCACACACCCTCTGTCGGTCTGACCCTGGCTGATTGAGTCTGTCCTCTTTTCTGCTGCATCCGAGACACTTGGTAGTCGACTATTCAATTCATTTTGGCCCTTGATATCGCATCTCCCCATCCTTTGTTGAGGTCCTATGGTATGAGTTGTACAAACACCAATCAGCTAATGTGATCCTAAATTTATGGTGACTCTCAACTTATGAGCCCTGCCCACAATATGCAACAACTTTCCCTCAATAAATAATTTAACTTAGGTCTTTTCACTTGTCGCATCTCTACACCCTCCAGGCTTTTGGGATATGTCCTTTGTTCTATCCTAAATTAGGAACTATCAGATTTTTACAGCCTATATTAAAAAAAATACGTACCAAATTCTTTGGACTTGCCTATTATGTTAACAATTATTTTCAACTCATTTATTCCAACTTATATTAAGACTGTGACTGGCTTACTCATCATCATGGATAATTCTGGTTTTGTACATACAATAATGACATATTGCTTTAAGTTGCTTTAGGCCTCTTCAAATTAATTCAAAGTATTAACCCCATATTTTCATAAATTGTGATTGCTTATCTGATTGCAATATTATAATTTATTTTTTGTTTTTCTTTTCTAGAATGGTAACGAAGAAAAAGAAGAATGTTTAGAATATATCAGACAAAAGTCAATGTTTTACCTGAACAATCTAGAGGAACAAATTTTGGAAGTGAATCTGAACCATCTAACGCGGACTTGCTTAGAGGTGTGCTCTGGTATCATGCAAGAGAAAGGCACTTCAAAACAACTTTCACCTCTTCTTCCCGATGTCGTAAAAGAATATTTATCCAGATTTAAAAAGTGGCACCAATTCTCAGGTAATTTATTGATTTTAACTACATGTTTGAAATTTAATTAACTAGATATATTTTTCAGGGACTTACAAGGAAGAAGTTGTATCTGGGCTTTTACAAGTTGTGCTTCGTTCTGCATCAAAATGTTGTCCAAAGGCATGTGCAGCATTTATAAACATATTGATTGATAATTGTTTACTCAACGATTATGTGAAGGAAACACAAGAAAATACCTTTTTTGACAACATTTCAAGAAACAGGTTGGGGATTTTTTTCTTAAGATTCTATTATTATAATTACTTTTATTTATTTGTATTTTTTAGTTTACTGGAGACCATGATTGAAGTTAGCAATGCGGAAGTGTATGAAAAAATCTATACTAGTTTTTTAAAAGGCGGTATAAAGGATCTTGCCAAAGGGAAAAACAGCAACTTTATCATTGCCAAACTTTTGAGGTCCTGCCCGGGAAAAATACAGCTGGAACCAATTTTTGAAGAAATGGGCACAAATTACCAGGCATTCATGGAATACCCTCAGGTTCTTGTCGCGTTATCAGAAGCCTGTCTTAAATGTGGCATAAAACAAGGAGATTTAATCAAAGTATGTATTGAGATTGTTAAAAAAAAAAAAAAAAAAAGTTTTTTCTATTAAATTTAATTTTGCAGAATACAAAAACAACGCTTTCATGTGATATTCAAAATGGTGACCAGACATTTGTAAAATGTCTATTATGGATGACATCACCTGATAAACTGGATCTGAAGTCTCAGACTAGCATTCATGGAAGTATGATACTCCAAAACATGCTCACTTTCAAAAAACCCATAAAGGTTTAGATATTCAGTGTTTAAAATATGAACACATTGTAAAGAAATATATTTTCAGATTGTCGAGGGTCTCCTTGGGTTGAATTTTGATGAACTGAAAATAATAGCTGAAGATCCAAAAGGTTCACGCATATTTGACGCTTTCGTTTTGAGCAATTCAGTGGGGGAAAAATCAAGAGATAGGCTCATCAACAAATTCAATGTAAGTCAAAGTTGTTGCATTATTACAACATAAATTACCTTTTTTTCTTCTTTTTATCCAGGATGCATATATTGACTTAGCAATGACAAAATTTGGATCGAGAGTTTTTGACGCTTTATGGTCTAAAAGCTCTGGAAAGCAAAGAGAAGCCATCATGAAAAATATGACACGTAGGATTTTGTCCAATCAGTATGGAAGCAAGATCGCAACAATGATAGATCTCAATACGTACCTTACTGACAGAAAAAATTGGAATCCAAAAAACAAGCAATGATCATTTTTATTTATTTATATAAATATATTTAAATGTAAATAAAAATTATGTTAATAAAGTATATTTATATATATTTTTTGTAATGTGATTTTACAAATTATAGAATTTGTTTCCTGTTGAGTCTAAAGAAATTTGAAGTGTTCAAGTCAACTGAGCTCTAAGATTTAGCTATTATATTTCAAATTGAAATAGAATAGCTACATATTAAAAACAAGCTGGGCTGCTTTCATACTGGAACTGACTATGTCTGATTTAAATCGAAGGTATTCCCCGAACTCGCAACTTAGGAAATGTAATCACTCTGGAGCTAACTTAATTAGGTTTAGTTTTGACCTGAACTCGATCCCTGCAAATTGGGGTTTTTGCATTCAACAGATGACTTAAGGCTTCACTTCCAATAGGTAAATGCGAATCTCTTATGGGCAAAATGGTGTGAGCATTCCTTGCCTGACAAGTATCTAAAAAAACCATTCACCAATGGAACAATTATCACTGAGAGACAAACTGCTTGAACAAGTCTGTTCCAATCTGAGAGCTTGGAGAATTTGGATAACTAAACTGTCCCTAGTCATTGTTAGATGTAGTCGGTTGCAGTGTTGACCAACCTTGGATTTGGTTGTTTCTTGTACATGTAACACAAAATTCATAACACATATAAGAAAGAAGACATTTTTAAATTTTGATCCAGCCAACCCTATCAATTCTGCATCTTATGAGCTCACCACACAAGTGCTTTGATAATTGATTTTTATAGGTTAAATTCTGCACATGTAAACACAATGTTGGCTTCTTGTGGCAAGCAGTGAGAATCATTCACTATGGTATTTTGTGGTCCGGGGTCAGACGTACCACCGCTAAAAACTTAAGCACACTCATTCTTAAATACACTCTTTCCGATTCACATACCATTCACTCAAGTACGGTAAAAGAGTACTCAATCTTCCTTCATCATCCTTTACACATAAACTAACTAGTCTAATAGGGTTGATGGGACACTTGATATTGTCATCAACTTGTAGTACACATTCACATTTATAAATACATTCTCAAGAAACTGTTTACACAGAATACATTTACCCTATTGTATTTAGTTCTCCGGAAAACATAAAGAAAATAATTTTTTAAATAGGACGCCTTTCAAAATTTTTTCTCGATTTTATGTGAAAGTTGCTCCAATATTAAAAAATGTCACAAAATGTTCTTAAAAATGACTCAATGTCTCATTTTTATGTGAAAAACGAAAACATTTTTAAAAAATTTATTTCCAAATCATCAACAAAAATGAATTGATAAATAAATTAAGAAAATAAATTTTAAAAAATGTCTACAAATTTATTGACAACAAAAGAAGCTGTTGATAAATGCGTTGTCGGTAGTTCTATAATAGAGGAAAAAATTAAATAAGTATCTCTTAGCTAAACCAATAAATCAGCAATATTCAGGGAGAACCAAAATAAAGTACATTAGAAACCCTGAAATACTTTGTAATTAAGGAAAATTAAAAAAAAATGGGTGGAATATATAATGTCGTCACCCTGTATATGCAATAATAAGATAATCTACAATTTAAAAAAATCTTTATACCAGAAATACCCCAGTTTACTCCAGAGATTGGAGTACGGGTCCCAAATATTTGCTGTCATAATTGAGCACATTGTCATATCGGGTGGTATTCATCGTTCTCTACATGGAGCCAAGGAATGACACCCTTCCATTAAGAAGGACACATTGCATGTTAATTTATTTTGAGAATATAAAGACATGGACTCCCTAATGCTGAAAAGAGTTTGGTGCCACTTGAAATGTTAGAAATAAATTGTATTCTGTAAATTTTTCTTGAGATGTTTGCATCTGTTGACTGTTAGCTAAAGTTCAGAGCAAAAATGGGTATAATCAGTTTGTATTGATTATGGCTAATAGCAATGAATTTTCTCGGGTAGTCTAGTGGATATTCTGCCATCGACACCTGCCCTCTTGCACTACACCCACATTCACGCTTATAAATACATTCTCATGAAACAGTTAACTCAGAATATAACTATGATTAAACTTGTTATATATGTAGTAATAAATATCTGTATATACAAAAATACCTCCTCCAAAAATCACAATATGTGCCTAAAGATTCACAGTCGTACTTGAGCAAAATTCTTATATCGGGTAGCATTCCTTCTCGTTCTTAGTATGGAGCTAAGGAATGACAATTAGGTGGGATACATTGTGCAACCTTTGCTTCAATAAAAGCCTACATTATTTTTTTGATGTTATATAGGCAACTTCAGATATATGGAACAATTCCTATGGACCCCCCATGCAGAAAAGATTTTTGTGCGACTTGAAATGTTACACATAAACTGCTATTCTTTAAATTTTTCTTGAGATGTTTTCATCTGATGGCCAAGAATATACCAGCATGCCAAAATGTGATGTTATAACATCTAAAGTTTAAAGCAAAAGTTGGTATTAACAGTTTTTATTGATTATGGCTGAAAGCAATGCATTTTCTGGGGTAGTTGATATTCCACCATCGACACCAGCCCTCTTGCACGACACCCACATTCACACTTATAAATACATTCTCATGAAGCAGTTAACACAAAATATAACTATGAAGAAATTGATATACATAATAATAATAATAAAGATCTGTATATGCAGAAATACCTCCTCCAAAAATCAGAATATGGACCCAAAGATTCACAGTCGTACTTGAGCAAAATTCTTATATCGGGTAGCATTCCTACTCGTTCTTAGTATGGAGCTAAGGAATGACAATTAGGTGGGACACATTCTTCAACCTTTGCTTCAATAAAAGTCTCAATATATATTTTTTTGATATTATATAGGCGACTTCAGACGGATGGAACAGTTTCTACGGACCCCTGATGCTGAAAAGAATTTTGTGCTACTTGAAATGTTAGCAAAAACAGCCATTCTGTAAATTTGTCTTGAGATGTTTTGGCCATGAGTATACCAGCATACCAAAATGCAATGTTATAACAGCTAAAGTTTAGACCAAAATTGGGTACATTCAGTTTGTACAGATTATGACCGTTAGTTAGCCATGAGTTGGGCACATACCTTCAAATTATTGCAAAAATTTTCCAGTTTAAATTTTGTCTCATTGCCGTCAAAATTGTTTTACATTTTCATTCATCCTTCCTCCCGATTTGTTGAGCCAGCATCGATTCGAAAAAGGGGAACAAAAGTCGATTCTATCACTCCAGCCCCCTCTTCCTACGAGTGTCAGCCCAACCAACACTCACAGTCGCAAAAGTTATGGTGAACGAATGTCAACAAAGCTTCCACCACTGGAAAATCGTTGAAAGGCGGAGTGAAATGCTGGTTTTTCTCGTTTTCCCGACCTTTTCCCAGTCGTAGTTCGTGATGGGCGAGGACACAGAGAAAGACGGGCCTGTCCTTCACGTCGCCGTCATCGGCTTCCACCATAAAAAGGGATGTCAGGTAAAAAAACAGAGTTACCCCATATAAACAACATAATTTCGACCGTTGATAATCCATTAATTTCATGATCCACTGGAGAAAACGTACAGATGAATCATCCTGTTTCCCCCCCATTGTCTGCAAGATTGCTTGTTTATTCTGGAAACACTATATTGATCATAGAAAACTTCAGTGGCAATATTCGTCCATAACTTTTCTCAACCCAAAAGTATATATTTCTTGCACCAAATAGAAATAAATTGAGGGAGAAAAGTCTTGAATAAAGTTTAAAGGAATTAAATTTGTAAAAGTTTCATGAATATTTCTTATAAATTAACAACTAAATTAATAGAAAATTTAGAATTAAAAGAAAATTTATGGTATTAGTCTAGGTATAAAATTCCTTGAGGGGCAGTAAAACAAGCCATTATTTACTACAAACTAGTTTGATTCAAAAGTGCGTTTTGTTCATTATTTTGAATTTTTAAACATATTTTTGGTTAATAGTTTATCCCTTGAAATATAAACTATCATTTTCTTTGATTTTGTAAGCCAATCCTCGTCTTACCATAAGTTAGGACAAGTTGCTAAAGTAAGTTAGAAATAGTTGTAAAGAATGTCAAATCATGTCATGTCATTTACCGGGTTCGAATCCAGCGGCCCTGCATTCAAACTCGACATACTTATGCATACTTATATACATGATATACTTATATACTTCAATGTCTAACATAGATGAATAGTCTGTCCACTAAATAATGAAAGTTAAAAAGTTATTTAGTGTGATTCTCATAGACTTGGTTCATCCAGCTGTGAGACTCGATAAGTTGAAGGATTTATGCTGGATGTCCATTGGCATGGGACCAGGAGGCTGTGTAACAGAAACTCCCACATCTAGCCCAACAGTTGTTGCTTTACCTTTCCTCTCCTACTCGATCGGAAAGCCAGTATAAAAGATGATTTGGAAAGCAAAGTCAGTCAACTCAAAGACACATCTCAGGAACTCGAGGGCTCAGGCGGTGGTTCACAGAGGTGGTCAAAGGCAGTGGTTGAGACACGACAGTTGTCCAGGGCCGAGACGAATTGAATATTGTCAACTGTGGAAGAGCGGTATGGTGTAGGACAAGTCGAATTCCTTGTCTTAAAAGCAGCAGACAGGAGGATGGACTCAGTCAGCCAGACTCGGTGAGAACACTCAGTCAGCTTGAAGACATAGCCAAGTAAATCAAGGACAGTCTAGAGCAATCAGCCAGCCACACTCAGCCAACAAGGACCTAGCCATTGCGACAAGTCGAATAGATCTGTTGAGAATCCAGGAAGATGTGGAAAGATCTGGTGGGTGTAAGTGCTACTGCTGTGCCACATTCCTCCAAACTTCATTCTTTTACTTTTGTCCTTTCTTACCATTCTTGTTCCACCTTGAAACTTGCAATTGTAAAGCTTTTTATGGTGAACTCAGTTGACTCAACTAGGAGACTGGGGTTCTCATCACTTGCTACAGGACTACACTTGCCTGTTCAACTAAAAGCCTTCTGAATGAGGGCTAAACTCTGGGGTAAATGTTTGACCAACTCAAATAATTCTCTTGGGTCAAATTGTGTGGGACACTTCTGCAGCTTCTAGAACTTAATCCAATGCATCCAAATGCCGGAAAACTAACTTTGTGATACTCCTAATTCTAATGAAAGTTTCCAAGCAGATCTTTTCCAATATTTTGTTTTAAATACTATGAAACGAGAAGAAATAAGGCGCCCACTTTGCTGTGGGTTTTCAAGGGTAAAAATATCCTTCCGTGAATTTTCTGCACAATTTTTAAGCAGTGTTTAGACAGACTTTAAGTTACCTTAGCATCTAGAATCATATTATTAATCTTTTTCTGAATACACATTGCATAAACATTAATTATGGAGTACAAAAAGATAAAATCATTTCAGTCAGGAGTGTATTTCCTCTTGTGTTGATAACAACTAATTTTATATGCTTGATAATGTCCCAATGAATATTTAAATTATCTTCCACTGGCATCTGGGATTTTTATCTTTTTTGACAGTTTAATCAAGGTGTTCTATGGCATTTAGGTCAGCATTAAATGGTGGCGATTTGAAACATTGGAAGCCATTTCCTACAAGACAATTTTTACAATCCAAGGTATTTCATTGTTATGCATAAAATTAACATTTATTAGTGACGACAACGCTGTAGGTATATAGCTGTAGGTTTTATTATGAGAGGAAATCTATACCTAAAACAACATTTAATTGTTTTCCAGAACTCTCTTGGCCATCTGAAATAAACACAGGAAAACAAAATTTTACTCCAAACTTGCTCAGTTTGATTGAAGTTGTTTCTTGTGTATTTTAATTGGGCCTGTTGTGTTTTTAATTTGTTTAAGATCTCATATTTATTTTTACAATGTTTTGGTCATTTAAAATAGAGGAAAAAATAGTGCTTTGTCTTTTTTTAAATTAATTAATTTTTTTATTACCACAAAGAGAAAATCATAGCTCAGACGTCGGAAATTTTTATGGTGTGTATGGGGATGATGCTTTGGGAGAAAACGCTGTACTTTAGTGGTTTGCTTGGTTCAAAAGCAAAAAATTTTGATTTGGAAGACGCAAAACACTTTGGTCATCCTTCAATTGTTGATGACCCAATCCAAGTTTTTTCACAAATAGTCCTCACTGAATGACACAAGACATCAAAGGGAGGCTTAACATATCTCAAACAAGCAATTCAATGCATCTGAAAGCATCTGGATATGTTTGTCAGAATGATATTTGAGTTCCTCTCATGTTGGCTGAGAAGAATTTATTGAACTGCATCTTTATCTGCAATTCTCTCATAACACACAATATAAATGACCAATTTTTAACTTTATTTAATTTTAACTATATTCAGACAGAAAAATTTTGAAGAAAATGCATCAACCCATCATGAACAACTACAAAAACTGGATTACATCTTGTTATTGCTTCTTTTTTGTTAGGTAGGGTTTTTAGCTTTTATTTATTTTGTATTTTATGCAAAAAAATATTTACCCTACATCTATAAAATGAAAGTTGTTTTATTGGGTAGATTTAATTTTTTGTGTATTGAAATAAACTTCTAATAAATAATAATGTTAGCAAATTTTATCCAGTAATTTATAATGAAGCTTATTGGTTTGGGCAAGTTGATTGATTACTTGTGAATAACATTATGGTTAAATTGAAACAGAGCTTAAAACAACAATAAGCAATATAATAAAACCTGAATTGATCAAACAAAATTTTATTGTAGATTTTTATGGTTTTAAATAATTTTTAAAGGTGTATTTGTTTGAAATCTGTTTGCATGTGTTTTTCCCATGCGCAGTTGTTAAAAGCTGATATATTACACTAATGACTCACTGATGTAGTGGTAAAAATAGCTTTTAGATAATTTGACGTGTCAATTTTTGCTGAGATAATTTATCATGATGAAAAGTTCGTTCTTATGTCTCATTTATTTATTTATTAAAATAATTCTCAGGTTGAATTTTCTTATCCACCTCTCGTCCCTGGAGGAGATGTTACGTGTACAGAATGTCCACCCGGTTGGAAATACCTGCCGACCCTGGCACTCCCGGATGGGTCGCACAACTACGAAAAGGACACCGTTTTCTTCCATCTCCCATCTCTGGACTGCCCGAACAAAACGGTCTTCGGCGTTTCTTGTTTTAGGCAAATCCCAGTTGAAAAAATTAAAAACCGTACTTCTGACATAACCAGAGGGACAGTCCAAAAGGCAGTTTGTGTTCTGAGTAAAATACCACTTTATGGGCACATTCAAGTTAAGATGGAGCTTATTACCCATGCATATTTTGAAGAAGGTAATTTCAATTTATTTCATTTTATTTAATAAACTACTTGCAATGATTTTTTTTTTATAGGGGATTTTACTAAAGTTTCTTTACTTGAAGATACTTATAGAAATTTAAATGACTGTTTAAACCAAATATTTGACCTTCATAGTGCTCCTCAGCTTTTTGTTGGTAAGTTATTAAAATAAGTCAATTTTTTTATTCAACTTATAACTTTAAAAAATAATATATATATTTTTTTAGGGTTATCTGCTCGGGATCTCATTTTAACTTTAAGGCATAAAGTATTACTTCTTTATAAACTGGTGCTGCTTGAGAAGAAGGTGCTTTTCTTTCAGTCGCCTGTACAGCCACTTTGTACAACCATTTTAACACTACTCTCTCTTCATCCAAATTTGGTAGAAGATGGATTGTTTCAGTCTGCATGTTTCAAGTAAGCTGCTTCCCTCAATGTATATAAATAAATAAGGACGGTTATTTAATAATTTTACTCCCACAGACCATCAAGACCGATGTCTCCAGTTCCTCGGTTTGAAGAGAAAACACAGAAAAGTGCAGACTTCTCGGAAGAAGCAGATGTCAAAGAAGAGACTGAACTCAGACATGACAAAGTAAAATTTACTAATACCTCTTTTTTTTAAAATATCCAAATTTGATTAAATTTTTAGGAAATGAGTGATAATCAGGAGATTAATGAAATGCTAAAGGCAGATCCTAATCGTAATGGAATGAAAATGAGACAAGAGATAAATGGGAATCAGCTTGCTGCTAGGATTGATTCCAATGCGGAAATAATCAAAGATGATCAGAAACATCTATCAAACCCAACAGTTATTGATAGAGTGGTAAGCATGTATTTCAAATTACTTAATCTATATCTATACTAAATTATAGATATTACTATTCTATACTATCTATACTAATAAAATAAAGAGAGAAAGTTTGTTTGTTTGCAAGAGGTAATGTCAATATCTACAATTTTGATCAAATTTTTTTAGGCGTGTTCCATATGATCATAGGAATGACTTTATAGTTTTGTTATGTAATTATTGCAGTATCAAGTAAAGATGTGAAATTTTGTATGTTACTGTGCATATCGCAACGCAAAGCAGTTCAGTGTAACTTCTAATCCCCACTGCTGCGATGCTCAATGAAAATGGTGGAGGATTTATGCACATGTACAGATGTAGGCAGATGAATGTTTATAAATTTTAATCTGTACAACTTAACTTGAATTTTTAATATTTAATTTAATAATGAAAAATTTTCCTGCTTATTCTATATTTTCTGTTCAATTTATTTATTTTAAAAATTTAAAATCTCCAAAAGAAAATTGACTAAGTCTGACCTCCACTGTAAGGAAACAAAAAATCCGGAGGCTAAATGAGATAGCAGAACGACAAAATCATTTGGATAGTCATAATGTTCACAATTCAGCAACTCGAGCTACAGAAAATGGTAACAAAAAGAGCGTTATTGAGCAGAGTATGTTCCACTAGATCTAGGGTATAAAATCACGAGTTAAGAGTGAGTGGTTGTAGATTATCATTTCGTTATGATCCAAATGTCGATTATGCCCATTTTAACGACTTTCAAATATAAGGCGATATAAATAAGGTGTGCGATAGGTGTAACGTCAAAAAGTGGGCTGATGTGTATAATGGATTATTACATCTATTAGGTTTCGTGGCCCGATTGGCCAAATAATTTTTTTTCAATTAATTAATCTTTAATTAAGGTTTTAGTTGAAATAAAAAAGTCAGTGTCACAAGCGGAATTTGAACCCAGGACCTTTGGCTGCTCTACCACTTGAGCTATCGTGACTTCGATCCACTCGGACACCAAAATTTTTGGCTCAACCAAAACCTTAATTAAAGATTAATTAATTGAAAAGAATTTATTTGGTCAATCGGGCCACGAAACCTAATAAATGTAATAAGCAAAATGAAGTATACTTCACTAAAGCTCTCCCTGGCCATTTCATTTGTCGCCGAGAATCAAATAGATTACACGACATTTGAAAAATGGCAAAAAGGAGGGAAAATTCAAAAGGCGGGGGTTGAAATGGGAAGTTGGTGTCTGAGTGGATCGAAGTCACAATAGCTGAAGTGGTAGAGCAGCAGCGCATTTTACTGAAGGTCATGGGTTCAAATCCCGCTCGTGACAATGACTTATTTATCTCAACCAAAACCTTAATTGAAAATTATGAATTATATTGCACAGCTGGTAAAGTTACTCTTTGGGAGATTCTTGACCCACCAGAAGAAAAACATTCTTGACAAATTTAAAAATAGCAAACGTACGATTGTCTAGAAAAATGGCTTTGGCAGTTGCTTCCTCCCAAAAAGCAGCTTTTCTTAGCAGATGTAGCACATTCTACATTTAAATTACCATTAATGGTTACTTTACAATAAGAAACAGTGTGTTCAATTTGTATAAATGAGTAGGCAAAGAGGTGGTGATAACCAATTTTCCACTCAATTACTAAATTTTGGTGAATGCCAAGTTCCAATGAGAATTGTTTGATTCAGGCAGATAGTAAATTAGGAAGAATTTTAATATATATTAAAGAATTAGTTGACAAGATTTACCCAAATATAGAAAATTGCTCCAAACAAGTAATAACAGGACATGTGAATGAACTATTGTGTCTCCAAGGGATGCGTATGTTGATGAATTAGTGACCTATTGTTTCATAATATGTTGAAGTAATCAGACGTGAAGTAGTTCATTCATTTTTGCCAATGTTTTGACCTTTATTCGGGTCATCTGTAAATTACAAAACATTTTTGTGTAATTTACCCAGGCACTGAAGATGACCCGAATAAAGGTCGAAACATCGGCAAAAAAATGAAAAAGGTGTTTTTCTAAACTACCTCATTCTTGACTGCTTATCACAACTTCTACAAATTATGGAATAAACAATGTTATTTTGCAAAAGCTGCCAGGCGAATCCTGGATTTATACATTTATAAATACTGTCGAAAACATAGAAGATGCAGGGTATGACGTTACTAATTTGAAGAATATACTAAACTCATAAAACAAAAACTTACCGAGAATTCTATTAATGAATTTGTAAAAAATGATATAATAGGCCTCTTAAATATATTCCTGCTATCTAATTATTGTAAATTCAATACTTATAACAATACAATATTTTACTAAATGAAAGGGTTACCAAAGGGGGTCTCCATTATCCCCACTTTTTGCTTAAATATTCATGGATAATTTACAAAAAAAACCTTTTCAAATCAAACAACAAATTAATTAAATCTGTTCATTTTTGGAAACGCTATGTAGACGATATTTTATGCATATGGTCAGGAACATTATAACATTCATAATTTCTAGAATTTTTACATTCTTTAAATCCTCTAGGACTCCGTCAACTGTACAAATTAAAAATTGGCATTTCTGTAATGTTACTAAGCAACTTAAATCCTCCAAATCAGTGTAATGATGCTAGATTGTAGGTCACATCTGTACATAAAAATATTAATAAATCCATTATACTTACGGGACCTGCAGCTGGACACAATGCACATAAACCTAGGATTCCAATGGATTTGCCCTTTACAATTAAAAGACTACAATTTTGCTATAATCAGTAAGAAATCGCAAGGACAAATGTCTAAATATGTGGGGTTGATTTGTGGGAAGAATGTTTCTCACACGTACTATATATGTTGGTTTATCAAGAACCGGAAGATTGGATAATCAATTTATTTTGATATGTGACGGAAACAAAACCAAAATGCAGTTTATTCAAATGCATTGCAAAAACAAAAAGAATGTAAATCAATAAATATGTCGCCATGTCAGTACAAATAACAAATTTGCAATTATTCAAATTTACACACTACCCAAGTGAAGCCAAGGCTATAAAATATAAATAATATAAAAACAAATAAATGAATGAATCGAAAATTTTCTACCATTGTATAAATTCATTTCTTTTCCACCTCCTACATGTATTTGTAAAATTTAAACAATGTTTATAAATCCCAGGCCCTGAAGACGATCTCAATAAAGATCGAAACATTGGCGCGATAAAGAAAATGTTTTTCTAAACCTACGTCACACCACACCGCTTCTCACAATCTCCAAATAATCATTGATTAATGTTCACTAAACACCACACACACACACACACAGAGTATAAAAACAGTAATAAATCAGGTTTAATCTAACACTCAACCCATTATAATGATCCCCTTATATTTTATTTTCTTCTGATAAATATAAACTGAAATAATTTCAGGAGATTAATGGACATTTGGAGTGTGAAGAAGGAGATGGTGATAAAAAAAGCGATAGCCCAAAAAGACTGAATGAAGGTGAAAACATAATTGGATCCATATCTAGAGATCCTAGTAGTATGGATCTACTCGGAAATGCTGGAATTCAGAATTCTCTTCTCATGATAGCACAGATTGATGCAAACTCTTGTGGTTTACCACTTCAAATTTTCAACAATGTCTGTGATTAAATGTTAATGCAAAAAAAGTTCAAACTTTTATGCCAAATTTATTTTAGGGTTACCTTTGTTTGCCGTACCTTTCACTGCCGTACATGGATGTTCTGACAGATCCAAACATTAGAGGTTATTTACTCGGTGCTACAAATGTTCTTTTTAAACAGAAAAAAAATCTTGCTGATGTAGTAATAGAACTAGAAAACGGTATAATAGAATGCCCAGAACAAGATTTGAAAAGAGCTCTCACGCTTTCCACCGAGGATCTTAGGTTTAGTGAATTTCTTGTTCGCCATGTCAGTGCAACATGTACAAAGTATGATGTCTACGCAGATGGTGTCGGATGGGAGGGCAGCGAAGACTGGATCAGAGCACAATTCCTAGCTTATACACTTTGCTTGCTTAGGACCAGTCTTCTACAAGGTATTTACTTTTTCATATTGATAAATCTGTGTTTGCATACAAGTATCATTGCAGAAGGGTGTAAGGAAATAGACCAGTTTAACAAAAGTTATGTAACGGCACTGCAAGAGTCGCAGAGCTACAAAGAATGGAAATCTGACCCAAGATCCCAGAACATTCTTGAAATCAACCCCGGTCATCCTTTTGCCGGACAAGTGTCTGTCGTTAAAGATATGAAACTGAAAATTGAACAGTATGTTTTCAATCAGTTTTGAAGTGCATGTAAATAACTAAAGAAATTCGTCAAGAATAATTACATTTCTAATGAGCATTAACAAAATTTCAGTACAATGCAAACAACAGAAAGCGGAAGAAAATTAAACCAAGCTATGGTCACGACTGGTAGAGCTGTAGCAACAACTGGCAAAGCAGTTGGTAGGGTATTTTCTTCTTTTTTTTAAAATGGATTTTACGCTCTGTTTGGTTAACATGGATATTTTTTTCAAGGTGGTGCATTTATCCAGGCACGTGGTGCTCTAAGCAGCTGGTGGAGTAATTTGACTGCCCAACAGGTCTTAGAGACGAACAACATAGAAAAGGCTATTGAAGCCGACCAAGTCAACGATGGGATGAAAGATGACAAAGATATTGAAGAGGGAATTGAGTTAGTTGAGGGAAATATGGAACCCACTGATTAACTGGTAAAATTTTGATTTTTGAATCTCTTTTTCTTACTTTAACAAAAAATTTCTTTACAGTATCAAAAATTGTATTCAATCGATGTGATTGGCGTTATAATATTGAATTTTCAAATATATTTGCAAATAGAAACATCAGAACATAGAAAATTACCTTTTGAAAATAGCTTCCGTTTAAAAACAAGTTTCTAAAAAAAAATGTTGCGTATAAATGATATATTTTTATTAATATAAAATCATTATATAAAAACTGATATTGTAAATATTACAATTGTTTGTTGATAATATACGTTGGAATGATTTATTTTATAATAGAGTTTATTATCATTATATCAATCATTGGTAGTAGTGTTCTCATATGAGAAAACTGTCAATTGTAATAGATGAGAAATGAATAAAAGTAAAAAATTAATAGATTAAACGGTTAATGATTTTGAGTAGAAAAACCGTTTACTGGAAGTGATATATCCTGCATATAATCCTGCTGTTGCTTTTGACACACCACAGTATCGAGTTAGTGATAGCTTTGTTTTAATGTGATGATAAAATCAGTCATTTTCATTTGCCAATGATTAATTTTGAAATGTACATTTTATTTGACATTTTTTGATTTGTCATGACTGATTTTGTCAAAGAGAAATTTTTTTTTTTAATGACAGTAATAATTTAATTCCCCTAACGTTTAATTATTTGGCTGTGTATGTTTGTAAGTTTGTACATTCCAGGTTATGATTTTTTTTTTTTTCCAAATGCTGTTGGAACAGTTTGAACAAAGTGAGAAAGTGTTTGAATACCACTTTTGAATAGTGTGCAATTGTAGTTGTGATACCAATTGATATTGGAGTTGCTTCATTTCTTTGTTTTGTTTTTTTGAGTTTGCTCAGATTTAATGTAAGCTATTTAGACAGTTAATTTAGCGAACAATGTCTTTGGTGTTTAAATGAAATTGATCGCAAATAACAAATTATTAAAAAGTTGTTACCTAGTAGAAGTGAAATGCATAAAATGATATAAAAGTACTTAATTTAAAAAAAACTCAAATTATTCACTTTGTGTAATGACTAAATCAATAAAATATATATATTACATTTGTGTTTCAATTTTATCCTATCAGAATCGTTCAAGAAACAATATATCAGAAAGGACTTGTTGAAAAAAATTAACTGACTTGTCCTATAAAAAATAAATATAAATGGACTCCATATTCGTTTTCATCCCACTGGTAATTAAATAGTTAATTATAATTATTAATAATAAATATGAATAATTTGAATCTCTGTATGGTCTGGGTGAAAAAACAAATTTGGTTGTTAAATGCCAAGCTTTTGACCTATTTTAAGGTCATCATCAGGCAAATCTTAAAGATGCCTACAATTGAAATAATTAAGTTTTTAGTAGAAGGTTTTCAAATTCTTTGAAGACCGACTCAGTCCCAATATCGCACAAGGACTTGTTTTTTTCATACAGACCATAACGAGATAAAGATTATTTGTGAGTAAAAGAGTGGTCGATACATCTAACACTAAATAAATAATTATGTAGTTTGTTAAATAATAAAAATTTTCAACCTTCAAATTTAATTCTTTAAAATAGTGGGGGGTTGACCAAAAATAGGTTTTGCTATAGATAAATAATTTATTGATAAATTAATTTTTACATGGCACTCATTTAGCCAAAATAATGAACCACATCTTCCCTTGTCCATCAAGTTACACAATGACAAAGCTCCTTTCGACCCATGGGATGAAATGTAGGTAGAGTTCGCCTCATATATTAAATAGCTAACATAGATCCCTCAAGTTAATCGGCAGTTCATTCAAAAATGAAAATGATTTATAAATGACCAGTAAGTTAAAATGGAAAATTGGTGTCTGAGGGGATCGAAATCACAATAGCTCAAGTGGCGAATTGAGCCGAGGATTGTGAGTTCAAATCCCGCTCATGACACAAACTTTTTCATTTCAACCAAGACCTTATATAGAAAGAATAATTAATTGAAATAAATAATAATATACCACTAAACATGGATTAATATAACAAGTAAAACAGTAATCACTTCACTAACATCTGGCCGTGGCCCGTTTTCATGTATTTTTTTTACTTGCCGTACAGACATTCAGTCAATGTCATTTTGTTTGTGACAACTCGCACCAACCGACCTGGGCTACCTCCAAAGGGCACTACCCTATACACCCCGCTTCTCATTCGGGCATACACCTAATTTTGGCAGCATTAAGAGATGGATAATGCTCTCAGTTATCGGGTTTGTGGTCGATAACTGAGAGCATTGAAGTAGCTGGTCGATAAACTACATAGGAGATGGATAAAAACCGTACATAGCAACAGATACCCCTGGAAAAGTCCACATCCTCCCTACTTCCCAGGGACCATTTGCCCTTTGCATGTGGAGCACCCCCCGGAGACAACCCAGTACACCCAGAATGACTCAGGCTCCTCACCTCTTAATTAATTAATTGGTAAATAATAAATAATCTATATAAATGCACAAATATTAACAAATTTCAATAGAAATGAATGGTCGAGTGAGTGCCGTATTCAATCCCTTTAAATAGATAGTTCCTACCCACAGTAAGTTGTGAGTTGTAAAAACAACTTACTATAGCAGTAATAAACAAATAATCAAGTGATAAATAAATAATTAATAAATTACTCATATAAATACTACTATATAAGTAACAATGTAAATCATTAATAATTAGACATATATTGCATTAATTAATTAAATAATTGGTAATTAAGCCTAAAAATTCAAACAATGTTTTAAACACCATTTCATTTTCAGAACCTATAAGGCTATTAAAACTGAAGGGCTTCTCTACCTCTTTGTAAATAAAGATTCGTTCAAACATGGCATTTCTCGTTTCTTCATACTCCAGACAATCAACAAAATATGTTGTAGTGTCTCGGGTTCATAGCATGGTTCACAATTTGGAGAGGGTCTTTTACGAATTCTGTTCAGATAAGCCCCACATGTGCAGTGATTCGACTTAATTCTGATAATTGAAGAAAAAAAACACCTTGCTTCCCATCGTTGTGAAAATCCATGAAATGGGGCGGGGTTCAAGAATGAAAGCCTTAAAGAAAGAACCTGACTTATCACTATTATACCACTTTTACCATTCCTGTGACAGTTTTTTTAGTTAGTAACCTCTTCAGGGTATTTTGATGTTCTGGACTTCTGGACCCAATGTAACTTCCTTAGCCAACGTATCAACAACTTCGTTATGCACCACTCCACAGTGACCACGACACCAACCAAATGATACATTCTTGTTTTTTCGTTCTAGGCCATATATTTTGCTAACTTTTTCCGTCACTAGGTAGTCACGTTTGCCTTAGGAGAAAAATTATGGATTGGAGAAACTGAGCATTTGCTATCTGCCAATATACAAAACTCAGTTTCCTCTATGGTGAAAATATAATCCAAGGCTTTTAAAAGAACATAGATTTCTGCGGAAAATAAAGACTTCATTGAGGTAAGCATAATTTTACTAAAGAATTGCTTTGTAGTTTCATAAATGGCACATCTGACTTTACCACTTATTATCGAACCATCCGTAAAAATCAAATGGTTATTGGGCAGTTGTCAATTCACAATAATTCAATTCTATGAATAATGAATTAGCAATATGCGGAGGATATTTGGCGTAATCTTGTAAATAAACATTACAATTAATTAAGGTTTTTAGTTGAGATGAAAAAAAGCTAATGGCACGAGAGGGATTCGAACCCACGACCTTCGGCTAGATACGCCGCTGCTCTACCACCTGAGCTATCGTGACCTCGATCCACTCGGACATCAACTCCCCATCTCAACCCCACCTTATGAGTTTTCCCTCCTTACTTGTAAATACTTGTAAATAAAGTGCACTTGGTTTATTAATAGCTTTTTGATAGTCAAGTTGGTGCACCGGGTGGAGCTGATGTTTAGACATTGAAAATATATCAGAAATAGAAAACAAAAAGGCACATACTATTGGACGGGGTTTCTTTTTCCAACTTAACTTTTTCATCTCAATTAAGATCTTACATAAAATGAATAATTAATTGAAATAATTAATATTATCAATTAGACCACTAAAATATAAATTGATTAGTATAATAATTTAAAACTTTAAACACTTACAGAACATGTAACTGGGTATGTTGTGTACCCTTATAAATAAATACTTGAATGAGAGGAGTTCGCTGGCCAAACGGTTTGGGAAGCCCTGTTCAATTGGATATGACTTGAACTAGAGATGGGCAAAAGAATCGAGAATCGATTCAAAGAATCGACTCATCTAAAAGAATCGATCCCCCAATCGATTCCTTTAAGTGAGTTGCGGTTCAGTTCAGGTAACTGGAGGGGACGGATACGTCACACGTTTCCGGACGATTCTTTTTCCTGTAACAACTCNTTTAAAATGTGTAAGTAAACATTAAAAATTACTTATATTGTATAACAAATTCCTTTTCGTAGCCACGTAAATAATTTAACAACAAATAAAAAAATAAGAGAGCAATAGTTCGTGCTCTATTATACTAACAATTATCATATTAATCCTTACGTGTTCGGCGGTCATAATTGCCCGGCATATTATTCAGAAATAAGGCTTTCGTTAGTATTACTATCATCAATATTTTTCTTTCTAAAAATACAACGATTTGATACAATTTATATACTTAACATTAATACCATATTTCCTTTTTCGTTGTGGTAAATAAATACTAGAATTGAAAATTAATTTGAATTATGGCGGGAAATTTGGATAAAGGGAGAAACCAATAAACGAAAGCTCTGGTACCAGGAGTGGGGGGGAATCAAAGAATCGATAAAAAGAATCGACTCATTTCAGGGATTGAATCGAAGGGAATCGACTCACTTAAAAGAATCAAACTTCCCACCACTAACTTGAACTCTTGAAGTAAGAGTTGACGCTTTTGTGAGAGTTCCTCCAGAGTCGGATAGATGGTAGGACCGTAAAGTTTTGTAACTGGCGCATGCCTTCTGGATCAAGGAGACTTCTTCGCTTTTAACCTATCGCTATTTAAGTCAGGTTCTGTTTTGGAGTCGATGCGAATTCATCGGTCCACAGTGTTTAAAATTTGTTGGTTTTCTCTTTGTGGTTGCCGTTGGAATTTGGAGTAATCCAGGAGAAGAGAGACACCGTCGAGATGGTGAACGGGAGAGTTTAGCCGTGCCGGTCGGAAAATGTGACGTCAAATATGTCACCTGTGCTGTGTGCGAATCCAGTCGAAGATAAAAACCGGCTATAAACCGAATTGGAAAAATAATTCGTCCGCGAAGGAGGCGAAAATAAGATCCGCCGGCCCTTTTCAGAGAACAGGAGGTCTTAAAAGCCCCCGAGCTTTTGAAAGCCCGGCCCCGGAATCGCTTCTATGAAACCCGAGGCGGGTCTGGATTTTCTCTCGGATCGCGACTAGGGGGGCCGAAAAAGAAGAGACGACGGCGCGACTCATCGCGTTGTAAAGGATGCGAAATAAAGTGGCGAGGAAAGCCGCCATCTTACGTCCGTAATTCGAGGAAACCTCCTCATTTTCATTTTTCTGGGGGTTCGACGATCCGGGAGACAAACACTCGGAGAATTTTGTAAATATCGGAGTGAATTGAGGAAAACACGATAAAAGTGGTGTTCAAAAAGAAATCCACCAACATTAGAGGCGTTTCAGGATACTGCAAAAAGGTGAGAGGCAATTTTCAATGTTTTTACATCTATTCCTACCCCATTATTAGAATTTTATGGTAAAATAACCTGACTAGAAAGGATCTCGTTCATCACACTAGTCCAACAGAATCTATTTTCATTCTCATCTTGTTAATTCCTCATTTTTTATGTTATTTTATATATTTTTTATTGCCCAGAAATGATAACAAACTAGCATTGCTAATAGATTCTAATAAAAAGCAAACCAATTGTACTCAAGGCTTTTGATTATTTTTTTCGATTTTCATCCCTCCATTATTAGAATTTTTTATAAAGTAACCTGTCCGTAAAAGATTTCATTCACCAGTCCAACAGAATCTATATTAATTCCTATCTTAATAATTTATCATTTTAACAAAATCAGTCATTTTTTTATTACACTAGGACTGATAATAAAGCAACAAGCGCTATTGCTTCCCCATTATTCAAATTTTATTGTAAAATAGCCAGTCTGTAAAAGATTCTTTCATCAACAGTCCAACCGAATTTATTTTCATTAGTAATTTCTGTTTAATTTAAATAAAATCAATCGTTTCCTTTATTATTTTTCATGTTTTTTTTATTCCCCATAAGTGATAAAGTAGCGGTGCTAATAGATTGTAATCAAAACCTGTGTATTCCACAGCAAGATTTTCATCCCTCCATTATTGCAATTTGATAGTAAAGTAACCTGTATGTAAAAGATTTCGTTCATCACACCAGTCCATCAGAATCTATTTTCTTTCCTATCTTAATAATTTCTCATTAAAAAAAGTCATTTCATTTATTACAATAGAAATGATAATAAAGTAGCGAGTTCTATTTCGTCCTCATTTTATAGTAAAGTTATAGTAAAGTAGCCTGTCTGTAAAAGATTCCTTCATGCCAGTCCAATAGAATATATTTTCATTAGTAACTTCTATATAATTCTAATTAATTAAATTGTTAATAAATTAATTGTTTAATTCAATTATTTCATTTATTACACTAGAAATTATAAAAAAGGATCACTTCTATTCCTTCCCCACTATTAGAATTTTATGGTAACGTAACCTGCGTGAAAATGATATCGTTCATCACAACAGACCAACAGAATTTATTTTCACTCTCATCTTATTAATTCTACTATTTTATATATCTTTTATTGCCCATAAATGATGCCAAATTAGGAGTGCTACTAGGTTCTAATAAAAAGCAAACCAATTGTATTCCTCAGCAAGACATTAGATTTTTTCCCGATTTTCATACCTCCATTATTAGAATTTTTTATTAAGTAACCCGTCTGTAACAGATTTCGTTCATCACACCAGTCTATCAGAATCTATTTTCATTCTAATCTTTATAATTCCTCATTTTTATATTTTTTATATATTATTATATATATTTTTTATTGGCTATAGTAAAGTAACCTATCTGTAAAAGATTCGTTCATCTCAGCACTCCAATAGAATTTAATTTCATAAGTAATTTCTGTTTAATTTAAATAAAATCAATCGTTTCATTTATTACATTAGAAATGATAATAAAGTATCAGTTCTATTCCTTCCCCACTATTAGAATTTTATGGTGGAATTATTATCATTCTTCACAACAAACCAACAGAATTTATTTTCATTTTCATCTAATTAATTCCTCATTTTTATATGTTTTATTGCCCAGAAAGGATAACAAAGTATCAGTGCTTATTACCAGCCCAACCGAATCTATTTTTATTCTCATCTTATTAATTTCTCTTTAAAAAATAATATATTTCATTATAAATAATAATAACTGCTGATAGGTTAGTACCAACAGGGACAACTTGGAGGTTTTTTTTTCCAGTTTTCATCTATTCTTTTCCCATAATTAGAATGTAATGGTAACCTGCCTGGTAATGATATCGTTCATTGCACTAGTCGAATAGTGTCTAAATTCATTTATAATTTTATGTTACAAAACAAAGATTTTATTACGCTAGAAATGAAAAGTAGCAGTGCTGATAGATTCTAAAAAAGAATCACAAAATCACGTCAATAAACATTTACATTTCCCCTGGTATTTATTTAATCAGACAACTATGTTGAACGAAATCCGGAGAGGAAATTAAATTTAACCTTGTGTACAATTTTAGCGAAGGAAAATTCCATTTCTCTAAAGAAAAGAAAGCTCACTTAACCTTTAGACTGATGGTATTATCGGGAATGCTTCGCGCCTGTCTTTTATTACAAAACCGATTGTTGGACATTTGCTTTTGTAAAATTCAAAACCGATCCCAGCCCCGTCAAGAATTCGGGTTTTTTATCCGTGGAGGAAAAAATGCAAGTAGATATAAATGAGAATGAATTTTAGTGTATGTGTCGACCCAAGGTCATTAAACGCGATGATTACATGAATCAGTTGATTTATACGTGCAGAGGCACACATGCGCCGAGCTTAACTTTTAAGGAAGTGTTTATGGAAAATCGCCGTCGAAACTGGCCGGTCGTTACATCACGAAAGGACAAATGCATAGAAATTTATTATTAATTGAAGGTAAACATTTTATAAAAACGTATAAATCAAGGATGAGATTTATTTTAGAATGCATAAAAAATTAGTTTTAAAAGGTCAAGAGAGATTTGTTATGTTACGGTATGTGATTAGTGTGGTCCGCCTGGCTTTGCTGTTTACATTGGTTTGACGCGTTCCGGCCATCTTCTGTCCGTAGATGTCCGTGATCAGACTGGTAACAATATTCAACTACTCGCAGACCACCCAAGCCGACATTACTGTACTCTCAATTTACACTCGTTGGTAATGGATTTGATTACGATAAGATACACTATTTAAAACTGATTAGATATTTAAGCTAAGTTGTCTATGACTGTCTGATGACCTGGGATGATCAAATTGATGACAACTGTCCAACAACTCGCTGACTACCCAATCAGACATTACTGAACTCTCGACTTACACTCATTGGTAATGGATTTGATTACGATAGGATACACTTAAGTTGAAACTTGTTGGTTATTTAAGCTAAGTTGTCTGTGAATGTCTGATGATAAAATTGGAGACAATTGCCCAACAACTCGTTGACTTCCCAATCCGACATTTCTGTACTGTCAATTTACACCTGTTGATAATGAATTTTTAATATTTCAAGTACTTATATAGAAATGATGAATGGTGGAGTGAGTGTGTTGTTCAATCTTTGTAAAAATGTTTCATGTAGTTTTCTCCCTTTAAAATACACGTATTATGCTCATATCAAACTATATTTTTGTAGGAGAACAACATAAGTAGTATCGTACACTATCGTATAACTTTGCGACGACGTTCTGTCACAAATTATGTATTTCTGTAACTACGATAACCATACTGCCAGGCATAATTTTAAAGTGGAGACCGAGCGACGTAGGTTAAAATACATTTTTTCGCCCAAAAAAACTCCCTGAATACAAATTTTTGGGGCATAAAAAGAATTGTTTCCTCAAATTTTCAATGCATATTTTTTCGAATGATACATTTAAGTTGAAACTGGTTGGATATTTAAGCTAAGTTGTCTGTGAATGTCTGATGATCAAATTGGTGACAACTGTCCAACTCGCTGACTTTCCAATCCAACATTACAAAACTTTCCATATTCAAGTTCGAAATATAAACTCTTTGAAACTCTCAAGCTCTAAAAATAGATATATTCTTGTTCATTTGACGGCAGAACTGTTTCTCTTGGTTTGCAATTGCTGATGGCTTTATGGATCGTGTTACGATTAAGTTGAACTTGACTGGATAAGTTGTCTTACCATGTTCTGTTGATTTCCGCTGATCAGAGATGATCAAACTGGTGACTTCTTTTCTACTACTTGCAGACCCCCAATGCAACATTAACTATTTAAAAACATACAAGATATAAATATAAGTCGTGAGGGAATATTTTTTTCGATAAAAATCTCAATATGCAATAATATCTTATCTTACGTGGATGCCCGATGATCTGCATGCAACCGATAAGTCGCATACCTTATCCAATTTTTAAAACAATTCAATAGACTGATTGTCTAAGTAAAGACATCAACTTTAAACTTTAAATTGTTTCACCATCTTATCTCAGGGTGAGTATTAATCTCAACATTTTATGATATATTGATATACTACAATATATGATAATATATTGTCTTACGTTTATGCCCGATGATCTAAACTGATGACAACAGCTCAACGATAGCAGCCCACCCGATCCAACATTACAAAACTATTTGAAACACTCAGACTCTAAAAATAGGTGTCATGGATAATATTTTTCAGTATTAATCTTAATATTTTATGAGAGTTTATTAGAGAACAATATCAATACATTATTATTAATTTATCCTTGTTTAACTATTTGGTACATACTGTATTTCTCAATTCAAACTTGTTGATTCCTTTCATGCATCAATTAAGTTGAACTTGGTTGTTTAACATAGTAGAATTTTTTGAGATACGTTCATAAAGTCTTTTATGATGAAGTAGACTTTCTTTGGATCTACTTCATTACAAAGACCTTATGAAGATACCTACAAAAATTCTGATGTGTTTATTGTCTGGTCGATAAAAATATCCAACTTTAATTGGCCGGTTAAGTTCTGCGGATGTCTGATGATTAGGGTTGATCAAACTGGTGAGAAATGATTTACGACTAGCATACCGCTCAATCCACATAACTATTTGAAACACTCAAGCTTTAAATATAGGTCTCAGGGATTATTTTCTTCATAATTAATCTCAATATTCTACGGTATATGGATAGATTACAATATTAACACGTTTTTTTTATTCTTGTATGACCGGTTGATACAATTATTTTTGTCTATTCCGAAAACGGCTGCATCTTAGGTAAGCTGACTGTCAATGGTTAGACTCGTAGACCACCCAACAGCATTAAACTAATTGAAATATTTGAAGCCTAATTGCTTGAACTTTTATTCTTATGCTTGACTGACCTGTTAGTTATTCAGCTTGCAATAAATGATTTTTATTATGAATCATGTAAGGATGAT